GGGGGGGGTTGTTAAAAAAAAACATCGTCACAGATTTACTAAGTACAATGATGATTTTCCCATTTTCATAATCACATCATCGAATCGATTACCCAGGAAGACGTTTAAACCATAGGTCAGATGGTTTTTTTTTATCCCACTTTGATCAAATTTTCATACAACTAGAAACTTATGCAATGTTTTTATCATTAAATTTCACATGGACAATTTTGTGTATTGATTGGCCTTAAAAATATTTTCGGCCAATTACCTTTTAGGGTTTTAGTTATAAAAATATGGTTATAATATCAATAATTGTTATTTCATCAAAATGGGACGGAAATAAAAGGAAATGTTAAGTCAGGAAATTTATTCGTCGTACTTTTTTTTATATATATATCATTATTGCTTTGTATTTTATTATTTTTTAGTTCCGTGATTGTTTTTCCCTAAGCTGTGTGATTCTAAAAGTACCACGATGAAATGACTCGGTGTAAAGCACCGAATAATTAGAAGAGAAAACGTATTTGTCATTATCTCACAATATTGTGATATTTTTATTAACGTTTAAATACATGACAACTTGATCTGGTTATTGAATAATGAAAATACTGCAATTCTTTCTGCTACTTAATTTGTGATCACATTGAGAGTTTGATTTTATTACATTTTTTGGGTGTGGGAGGATTAAATGCTATGCATTACAGCACAAGGTGGTACTTCGTTATGCTTTACAATTTATACCGTTTGCATCGTCCCTTGGTTCGCACGCCTAATATTTAATCTGTTTACCTATGATCAGGGACAGTATATTATATGTCCCTGCACGGACTTAGATAATCTAATCTAATTCCGTGGTCCCTGCTATGATGTAACGTTACAGTATGCTAAAATATTTTTCGATAACTCTTTTGTATCATAATATCTCTCTTTTGTCATGAATGCACAGCTGCTCTGTATAAAAGCACAAGAAGGTGTTTTTACATGACCCCTTGGTGATTTTTCCAGCCTGCGACCGTCGTTCCTGATTGGAGAAATGTTGTCTAGTAGGCCTAGAACGTTCAAGAAACTACGACATTGTGTTTAGCAGTGTAAGGGAGGTAATTGGATCATCTCCATTTAGTCGAGAACTTTCTATAAAAGATGGCGGAAGCTAAAGAGAAGGTAAGCTTACTTACTGAACATGGTTATGTTTACATCCTACCTGCAACATTTTTGCCTGTTTTATGCATTGAGATATTCGCTCACATATTTTTATCTGACTGCTAGTAGAACACACAACTGTTTTAAACTAGTCTCAAGAATCTGGCGAAGACATGCCGGTACTGCCATCCGAACCATGTGCTGCTCCGTTGTTTTTTCGTGTTTTGATATGAAATTTATATTGGCTCGACACCTGCAATGGAAGTTTTTAATGTTTTGTCGTCGATTGATCACTTAATTGTGATTGGTGAAATAGTGCACAGGCGAGAGTTACAGTGACATGTGTTTTATTATGTTTGTGCTGTTCTTTTCTGACTTGCCTATCGTTAGGCCTAACAAGGCCTTCAGGGACTGGGGGCTGAGAGGAGTGTCCATTGTTTTTCATTGAGGGCATACATTTTGTATCTGTGTTGTAACAACGACAGACCGTCTCGCTTAACGGACGAATATGGAACGAAAACAAAAACTGTTTTAGAGCAATTGTTGTTAAAAAATAAATAAAAGGATGGGGGGTTCTGGAAATATAGAAACCTTATAATTGAGAGGTATGTGTTGAGACTATAATGCCAGGTAAAGTGGGAAAATGCCAGATCGGGATTCGAACCTGGGACTGTCCAAATTCTAGACAGACGCACTAACCATTAATTTGAGCTACTTGGTTGCCGGTGATCGACCCAGCCATTTCATTCCTCTTTTCTTTAACAAAGTATTCGACCCCTAAGACACACGAGACCCGTATACCACCATTATAATAATGTGGGTATATTTCATTGGGTGCCAAATGTAAGAGGTGAGAGAGAAATGCAGAGCCAGACTGGGAATCTAACCCAGGACCCTCCAAACTCTTAGACGGACGTTCTAATGAGCTACCTGGTTGCCACATTCATATTTAACTGAAATTCGGAATATGTATCTCAATATGCTGGAAAAATAAACAACAGATTGGATGCATTTCTCATGAAAGGTGATCATGAGGACTCGTGTAGAGTGTGTAACCGGGAAAAGAATAAGTGTGCTTCCACCGGGGATCGAACCCTCAATCTCTAGGTTCCTAGTCGGACGCTCTACTACTTATCTAAAGGGAAACTCTAAGGCGACCATAATCCTATGTACAATTAAAATCTGCCACAAGTGTAAGCATTTGAAAATGTAGTCTGCAACATATGTGAAAATTAAACAAAATATAGGTACCTCGAGACTACCACAAGAATTTAAAGTATTTAAGGTAACCCAGACACTGACAGCTATAGTCTGCTTTCCTAATAATTAAATACACTGACAACTATATTCTGTTTTCCAGGTAGTTAATCCAGACACTAGTAGCTATAGTCCATTGTAATCTACTTGGTTGGTCCAGCTTTAGTTCTATTTCTCTTCCTGGTTTGATTTTGTTGTAATTTGTAGATATAAGTGGTAGTGTTGTGTACATTTCATTAATTATGAAAGTAGAATTTACATTCCATTTCTGTCATGCAAGACATATTCTTGAAAGGAACACATTTTGGTTATGCTTTGTTGACTTGCAAATTTATGTTAAAACAGGCACTTCAAGTCTTTGCCAGCCAGTATCAGACCACTACAACTATCTCTTGTTCATTAATGAAGAATTCTGGTTGAACTTGTTTAGAAAACGAAATAAACAAAACAACCTAACTTGTCTTGTCCTGTCTGACAAATCATAACTTTTGAACGACTGAAGATACTTAAGATACATTTTGTGAGGTTGACACAGAGCAATATATTTTTATTAATATTTTATTGCAATTTAGTGTTTATCAGTTAACCACGAAATTGTAAAATTGTTCTGATGATGGCCATGGTCAAGCCATCTGATACATGTACATCAGTGGATTCCTGGGTGTTGACGCTCCTTGAAACCTTCACTTTATTTTCTGAAGTTGTATGTATCTTGAATATAATTACCGATTACATACAAGTAGTTTTCACACGCCCAAGTACATGTACAAAGTGCACACAATTGAGAATCTTTGATATGCATGATGTTTGAACTTGTTGACTATTTTTTGTTCATGCCTTCTCTCCTCTGATTTGTTCACACGAAGAACTGTTATAATTTTTAATAACAATCCTGTGACTATCAAAGTGGGCATGCATGACTCCACCTAACAATTTCCCACCCTGTTTAAGATCCTCACCCTTCTACAAAAATATAGGTGAATGAGCTAAAAGTACAAGGCAATAAAGCATTGGAAGTCGGGGACTTTGAGGAAGCCATCCAGAAGTACACCGATGCCATAGCCTTAGACCCCTCCAACCATGTCCTCTACAGTAACCGCTCAGCAGCACTCACAAAGGCAGCTCGCTACCTAGAGGCACTCGGCGATGCAGAGAAGACATTGGAAATCAAGCCTGACTGGTTCAAGGTGAGTGAACCATAAATATGTTTGTACTACCGGGTAGTATCTATTGAAATGAGAAAGGGTTATTATTAAAATACATTTCATCACATAACTATGTAAATTGAACAGATTTTTGAGAATGCCACGATGTGTCCAGAACATTTTGGATTTCTTTGATAATGGTGGCTAGATGTATATTTCAAATTATGAAGTTTTTTGAAAATGATTTCTATTTGGCTCTTTTAATCAAAATGTTCTTCTGTTGTTTTATAAGTATGCCTTTAAAATGGAACCTTATTGAAGATATTCTATATATGTTGTCATAGTTTATATATAGTGGACTGGTGTATTTGATATTGGTTCGATGGTTCAGAACAACGGCAAAACAAATGACATTTCCATTGCGATTATAATTATGTTTGCTATTGAAATTGAAATCTCATTTTACCTGAAATGCTTGAAAATTTGGCAATTTTTTTATTGTTTTATATTGTAGGGTTATTCAAGGAAGGGAGCAGCCCTGCGCTACCTGAATCGCTACCAGGAGGCAGCTGAGGTCTATGAGGAAGGACTCCAGGTTGTCCCTGACAATCAGCAATTGAAGGATGACCTTAGGGAAGCAAAGTCCCATCTCACAGGTAAAGTTAACAGTATATCTATTTTATGGGTAAACATATAATTTCTTTATATCTTACAAGCATAATGACCATGTGGCCTATTATAACAGTATTTGGCAATAAGCACATCCCACTTGAGTTTTGTAGATTTAAAATACTGTTGTTTTAAGTAATAATTTTACTTATTTCTATGTAGCGCATTAACTTAATTTGTATGCATTCATCTTACTTTGTGTGTCCTACCACTATGTATGAGTTTTACTGATCTCTCTATGTATGTGTCTAACATGTCCCTGTCTAAGCCATGCGTGTAACTGTGTGCACCTTGTCACTTTGTATGTGTCTTATTTGTCACTATGTATGTCTTACTTGTCAAAGTTGTCACACTATATGTGTCTTACTTACGATTATTTGAAAGGAAAATAGATTGAAGGACCATCGGCCAATCATAATTGTCCTTTAAGAAATAAGAATGTTTGGGACCATGTGAGTTTATGCTTTGGCACAGCGTCAATTGTGGATTGAGTTAGTACTAGTAGAATTTTTCAAACCTGCATGTAAACTCCCCCAAGTTGATTTAAAAGAGGTTTCCTTTAATATAAATGAATGGGTTTAGACTATCAGACCAATTATGACAAAGTGTTATACAAATGTTCCTTTCATACCCCTGACCAAATGTTATGCAATGCTTTATTTATGACTGCTGGTACTGGTAGTGACATTACTAGTTGCTGTTGCAGTTCAAACTTGTAATTGGACAACTGATGATAAAATCTTCCAACAGACTTATACAATTTCGCACTCATTGTCACCATATCATATAGTTGTGTACATTCCAATTTATTTTAAATCTGAACACATTCATGGCAAAGCAGGGGTGGGTGTCAGTTAGCCTTCAGCATGGAGTTCTAACAATTGTTCAAATCCATTCACAATCAAAGACGGACACCTTTCTCTGATTGTTAAAAAATGCTGTAACTATAATAAAGGCATGGATTTTTTACCCTCAGGTCCAGCTGGTAGCCAGCCTTTTGGCAACCCTTTCTCTGCCCCAGACGTCATGGCCAAGTTGGAGGCTAACCCCAAAACGAGAGAGTATCTGAAGCAACCTGACTACAAAATGATGATAGAACTAATGAAGCAAAACCCAAATAGCCTCCAGTAGGTTGCTTTTGTTTCTAAGTGATGTGATTATTTAATTAAGTCTTATCATATGCAGGTATGTGTTATAGGGCAATCCTATCCAAGAGGGTAGAACTTGGGTCAGAACTGAGGCTTTTGATTGACTCTTTTTTCTCTCGCCTCTTGCCCCGGAATTTGGTTAAAATCAACAATGTCATTGCGAAGGCAACTATAGTCAGATATAGTAGACTTTTTTCTAGATATTGTGTACAAATTAACGAAGAATATATCTGAAAGAACAGGGAAATGTATGTTATACCAAATTAAAATCAAAATAGTTGGGAAAACTATACAGCAAGTTTGTTTAAAAATTGTTTATTTCCGTGAGGCAATGTCAGATACCAACTGTTTTGGCGGTAGATATTCTCCTGCTCACCAAAATGTTGATTTAATGACCTAACATATAATATCAAAATGACATCACATGTCAGAATGTGAGCTGATATGGTACTGAACATTCTTACAGCAAATGTTTGATTAATGCGATCCCTAGCCAGAATGTAATTCCAAAACCTGGGTCACTAGGTGCACCTATGTGGGACAGGGATAGAGTTTTCTCTTGCCCTGGACAGGTATATCCACACTTTTCCTGGTGTGCGATATCCTTGTCTCACACACTTGGCAACTTTAGAATCTCCCCACTTGGATTGAGATTCCTCTATTTCACCCTCAAGGATGTGAGAGATTTTCTTAATCCCACATGGGTATAACATCTGGGACCAATGTATCGAAACGGGTGTGAGAAATGTATTTAATTTGTTTTAAGAGAATGGTTTATTGTTAGCTCACCTGGCACTTTGTGCCAGGTGAGCTTATGCCGTGGCGCGGCTTCCAGCGTCGATAACTTTAAACATCTTCTTCTCGATAACCAAACTTCCAAGGGAGATGATATTTGGCCAGTAGCATGCTTGGGTGAAGGGCTACCAAGTTTGTTCAAATGAATGACCTTCAATTATATTCAAGGTCACAGGGGTCAATTGTCTTAAAAAAACTTTAAACAACTTCTTCTGAATAACCAAAATGCCCAGGGTGATGATATTTGGCCCGTAGCATGCTGAGATGAAGGGCTACAAAGTTTGTTCAAATGAATGACCTTCACCCATATTCATTGTCACAGGGGTCAAATATGTTAAAAACTTTGAACAACTTCTGAATAACCAAAATGCCCAGGGTAATGATATTTGGCCAGTAGCATGCTGAGATAAAGGGCTACAAAGTTTGTTCAAATNATTCAAGGTCACAGGGGTCAAATATGCTAAAAACTTCATAACAACTTCTGAATAACCAAAATGCCCAGGGTGATGATATTTGGCCAGTAACATGCTGAGATATAGGGCTACAAAGTTTGTTCAAATAAATGACCTTTACCCATATTCAAGGTCACAGGGGTCAAATATGTTCAAAACTTTAAACAACTTCTTCTGAATAACCAAAATGCACAGGGTGATGATATTTGGCCAGTAGCATGCTGGGGTAAAGGGCTATCAAGTTTGTTTTGAATGACCTTCACCTTTATTCAAGGTCACAGGGGTCAAATATGTGAAAAAACATTAAACAACTTCTTCTGAATGACCAAAATGCACAGGGTGATGATATTTGGCCATTAGAATGCTGAGATGAAGGGCTACAAAGTTTGATCAAATGTATGTGTTCACAAGGAGCAAATATGTTCAAAATATTTAAACAACTTGTTCTGAATAACCAAAAGGCTCAGGATGTTGATATTTAGTTAGATCAAGGACTACTATGTTTGTTAAAGTGAATGACTTTGACTTATATTCAAGGTCACAGGGGTCAAATTTGTTTAAAATCTTTAAACAACCTCTTTTAAATAACCATGGGTCCCAGGATGTTGATACTTTGCAAGTTGCATACTGAGATGAAAGGCTATACAATTTGTTCAACAAAATGACTTTGTTCGACTTTCAAAGTAACAGGGGTGAAATGTTTTAAAATCTTTTAACATGTTCTTTTGAATGACTTTAATCATAAATACTGATATTTTGCCTGTAGCTTTAATTTAGATCACTTTTAAGCTTGCAAGTGTGAGATTTATACCAGGTGAGCGATGCAGGCCCATTGGGCCTCTTGTTTTTGTTACTTTGGTTTTTGACTTTACCCCATATGACTAATGGCACATCATGCTTTATTGTTTCTATTTGCAGGAATTTCCAAGATCCACGGATAATAACAACATTGGGTGTTCTGATGGGATTCGATTTGGAGGCTAAGATGGGAGATATGGAAACCTCAGATGATGCTGAAAATGACCCTCAGCCTCAAAGTCCTCCTCAAATGGAAACCAATGATAGCGAATCGAGTAACAAATCACAAACCTCAGAACAAAATAGTGCTGTCACTCAGGTAGCTAATACGCCATAATGTAGCCATATCAACCATGAGGGGGTAGGTGTGGGGAGGAGGGTGTGGAGGGAAAAAGGGACTTGTTGTGTGGACTAATGCCTACTTTCATCCTGATTTCAGCATCATAATTATGTTTGTCTTGCGGGTATGTTTTTCACTTGCTTTTAACTTTGAGTTGTAGTTTGTTTCTATTTTTTTTTGTTGAATTGACAGAATGTGAATGTATTTGCATTATCCAGCTTTTGCATTTGACATACCCAGTAGGTCTTTATTGATACTTTCATCATAGTGAAGAATATTCTAATATATAAATAAAAAAATATACAAATACAAAATATGTATAAATTTGATTGTTAATTTTTTATATGAGGTGAAATTTTACATACAAAAATTTACAAACTCAAACATTTTGATACAAAAATTTCATTAAAAAAATACAATTTATCATATTATTTATGACTTGTTGATTTCTCTAATATAATGAATATGTGAAGAAGAAAAAGTTCAAATTTCTTTATCTATATATATGGAGATAAACTCCTTCTGATTATCTGTAATTTTGTGGGCATGTTTGATGACACAAAAGGTAAAGTTTCATTAGTGTTACCAACATGTAAATTTTCACATAAATATTTTGAAGAAATTCAAAATGGGAAATGTATAATTTTTTCAGTACCACATTTTACTCCCATAGGTATTTGCTTCTTTGTTAGCAATACATATGGTTATTATAAGATTTTTAGGGTTTGCGATTCTGCACAAATTATGATTTTATTTTCATAAATCTGCAGACTATGTTAACTCATCCACCCCTGAAATGTCGTTATGAACTTCTCCAACCTTGAGTGGGAAGAGTTCAAATTTGTCTATAGGGGTGAATGGGTTAATTTGATTGAAATTTATTGTGTTAAAAAAAATCTGTCTCCCTTTCATGGGTTAACTTCTTTTCAATATATTTCTGGTATTACTGGTAAACTGCATTATATGTATGTATAAAATGACACTGGATATCTCAGAAATATTTAAAATGTTCGGTTTTTGATTATTAAGATTTGTAGCAAAATGGTCTCGTTTTTAGAAGTACAGAAGTTATAACCTTTGCTAACACATGGGCTATGTTATAGGCTCTTGCTGAGAAGGAGGCTGGCAATGCTGCCTACAAGAGCAAGAAATTTGAGGAGGCACTGCAACACTATGGTGCAGCCATTGAACTAGACCCAAGCAATATGTCATTAAGGACCAATACAGCAGGTATGCATTCTTACATGGTTATACAATATATTTTAAGGTTCTCAAAAGAGGTGTACTATTTTATCTTAAAAGGAGTCTCCAGGGGAACAAGATTCATCTGTAAAGGAGCCTCAAGCGGACAACCTTTCATATTTAAGTACAAAGTCAATTTAAAATGGCTGTCAACATGTTACAGCTATGAATGAAAATTGTGTAAACTGATGATACATGCTCTATTGATGAACTGCTCAAAATTACTGGTTATTTGTCCAGAAAAGGTCATTTACCCAGAATTTAATTAATACCTTCAATCCTCATCTGCATTTCAACTGTAAACCTTAATTCAGGACCATACGATTTGTACTCAGAGGATATGTTATGTATTGCAGCCGTGTATTTTGAACAAAAGGACTATGACAGATGTATAGGAGTGTGTGAAGAGGCAGTTGAACTTGGACGTGAAAACCGAGCGGAATACACAATGATAGCAAAGTAAGTCCTATCATACAGCACATGACAGTAACATTACTGTAGGTCAAGTTCCATGGAGACATAAAGAATATTTAAGGAGATTTCATTCCTGTAGGTCAAAGAGACACTGGTTATATTCCTTTATGTATGATGATCATGAAGTTGAGAAAGACACTGGTTATATTTAGTTGTTCCTTTGTGTCATGTCAAGTCATATGTCTTGGTTAGTTCATGGGAGATCACTCTGTATGTCTTGACATTTCATGCGACACCAGTACATGTAATATTTACATTTTAACTTGTGTTTTTCATGTTAAGTCACATAACACCTTTGATTTTTGAGATACTTGAGCAGAACAATGTTTTTCTATAATATACAATGTTTTGTGTTTATGTCGACAGAGCCTTAGCACGTATGGGGAAAGCTTACCTGAAGAAGGAGGATGATGCAAATGCTTTGAGGTACTTCCAGAAAGCTCTAGCAGAACACAGAACACCTGATGTAGCCAAGAGTATACAGGAGGTATGTTTCATAATACCTTTACAATCTCTGCATATCATTTATTATTTCTAAAGGTATAATAGATCAGTTCATGATGATATTGGAGAAGCCATCGTTTTCATGAGTATTTTCAATCAGAGCTTACACTTAAAACTATTTTACAATTTTTCATGGCCTGTGCATATAGCTGGAGTCATTTTCTTTGTACTCTCTTTCACAGTATTAATACCATGGTTTCATGTTGACTGCAAAAACCTTGCATATATATACATATTAATTTTGTTTTATGTTGTGTTGTAGATCGAGAAGCGCATGAAAGAAAAAGAAAGACTGTCATTTATTGACCCTGAGAAATCCTTGGAAGCAAAAGCATTAGGCAATCAATTCTTTCAGCAAGGTAAGAACTGATTTACTGATATGAAGCTATAGTTCCGTCAAATAACTGAAAGTTGTTGTATTTGACCTCTTTAACTTGAAGACTACAGAGAAAAATATACGAAATGATTTCTACATGTTGACCCTAGGTTGTAGAGGGGAACTTGAAATTACTTGTGATTTTTGTAAAAAAAAAGAAAAAAATAGTATTATAACAATTGAAAATGATCTGTTAAAGCTGGTGTACAGTGCAAACTTAGTTTGTTCATGTAACATTGATGAGATTTTCACTTCTGCTTTTGATATATATTGTAACATGAAACTTTCATTTATACTGGTATTTTTAGGTGGTTTAGTGTTCTGAAGCAACATGATTGGTCTAAAACATTTGAGGTTACAAAATATTTATGTGGTAGTTTTTTTTGTGTTATTGGTCATTACCAACATTTCTGTTTGTAGTGCTATCTATTAAAGGGCTTTACAACAGAAATGTAAATAATATTATTATGATAATTATACAAATTTACTTATTCTATGTTCAGGTGACTATCCGACAGCAAAAAAACACTATGATGAGGCAATAAAGCGGAATCCAGAGGATGCCAAGTTATACAGTAACCGAGCCGCCTGTTACACAAAGCTAATGGAGTTCAGCTTAGCCGTAAAAGATGCTGACATGTGTATAAAACTTGACCCTACATTTGGTAAGGATATATCCATTTCCACAGCATCTTGATCCTGATAGCATTTCTACCTGTATTATTCCCTCCAAACCAGTTGGAGGCGATATATTGTTCTGTTCGTACATATAAATATTGGTCATCACTCTTATGACTTCATTTCTTAACAGACTAACAAGCTCATGTAATGGTAGAAATATAAGAAAACCTCAAATGAAGTTTGTTTCAGGGTGTAAAGGTCAATGAAAATGTTCAGAGTTATATGTTTATAATACATGTGGGTTTAGAAATATACAAATACAATGTAAGTCACAATTAGAGAATGAGGTTGCAAGAGTGATACAAAAATAGATAATGTTGACAGAGTGTAGGGTATTTGCTCTTTAGCAGTTAGTTGTTTGTGATGCCTAGTTACCTTTTTCCGAAAAAAGAAAAACCTTATTTTGTTTTATTCATTATATTTGAAATCATTGCAAATTATTTGGCTTAGAAATATCATGGAGTAGCTTAGAAAGCCAGAAAGACTGGTTTCTGGCTGAAACATATTCAAATGGCTTAGCTTGATTATAGTCCATCATCCAAGTGTGAATTAACATAAAAGTAGAAACCATAGCTAAATCAAATACAGTTATGATTTGAGACAAAATCTTCACTATTACATGTTACCGGGTGAAGCAGAGGGTTACCTCCCCTTTTGTGTACAATGAAATGTTAATTTCTATTTCGAAGAGAATATTTTGGTAGTTCTAAAGAGAACCAATTTCCTTTCTTTAAAGTAATCCAATACTTTCTTGTATATTTTCTCAATCATGAAGTGGAAGACCTGCTTGTAGTGAAAAATGGTTTGATAATTATTTTGTAACTTGCTGAGATAAACCATGATCTGAAGTCACAGAAAGCCATAAAAAAGATCTTTGAAGAATTGGTAAGGAGCTGCTGTAATTGGAATGTGTATTTTATAGAAGTCCCTTGTTCCTGGAGCAGTTGAGTTTTTGCCTATGAAATACCCATGTAAAACGACATACACAAGTACATCTTCTATAGATTGTCAGTTTATTTTTGTGTGACATGGCATTGCTAACAGCAATAATAACTATGAATAATGGTTTGCTTATAGTGAAAGGCTACCTACGAAAGGGCGGTGTCTTGCAGGCAATGAAAGAATACAGCAAAGCTGCTTCAGCCTACCAGAAAGCACTTGAGGTGGATCCAAAATGTGAGGTGCGTGTCCCCAGGTTCTCGGATAGATCTTGCTTTCTTGTGATTGTAAAATGTCCCAGTTTGTTATTTCTGTGAAGATAATTTCTATCCATAATTCTGTCCTTAAAGTGATCTGTGCATAATTCATTAGTCACTACTATTTGTCATGCTCTGACAACAAACTTATATTACTGCTTCCCTTGTGACCAGGAAGCTTCACGGGGGTACCGGGAGGCACTGATGGCAGAGGGTGGGGATCCGGAGGCTGTCCGGAAGCGAGCCATGGCTGACCCTGAGGTACAGCAGATTCTTCAAGACCCAGCAATGCAGCTTATACTGCAGCAGATGCAGAAAGAGCCAGAGGCTGTTAGAGAGTAAGTCACACCAACTGTGGATATGGACTTTAAAATTTGTTTACGCTTCAAATGATTTTTAAGGAGATGAATTCGTAAAAGAATCACTGAAATATAAAAAACAAACTTTTCACCAGACATATAAATTTGTGATTCTCTGTGCAGATAACACAGAAACATATTGAAATTTGACTTAATGAACACTCAACTTTTCCCTGTTATTCTTATTCCAAATTTGATATCAAAGTCCCTATCATACTTACTAACACATTACCTTATCTGAACAGTCTTATGTATATTATCTGTATGTCAGTAATGTTCAAGTATCGAAGACATAATTTCAGTTATATTTTTTTCATTTTTTTTGTTCAGTTTTAATTAATGAGATATTATATTGTTTCTTTGTAGACATTTGAAAAATCCTGAAGTAGCCAAGAAGATTGAAAAACTGTTGGAAAGTGGTATCATTGCTATTCGTTGATAACGGGCTGGGATTACATATTGCAGAGTGATGAGGCATTATGGACATGTAAATGCACAATGGACTACAACTTCATCATGTTACTTTTAATATTGAACAACAAATGTCTGGATGATGTGAAATTCTTACAATGGTGGTCTGTCATAGATGATTTTGTGTTCCGGACGTTACAACACATTGGGGAAACCAATGTTATCCATGTTCTAGGGTAGGGGAGATGGATGATATCCCTGTACTAGGGTAGGGGAGATGGATGATATCCATGTACTAGGGTAGGGGAGATGGATGCTATCCATGTACTAGGGTAGGGGAGATGGATGCTATCCCTGTACTAGGGTAGGGGAGATGGATGCTATCCATGTACTAGGGTAGGGGAGATGGATGATATCCCTGTACTAGGGTAGAGATGTATCCATGTGCTATGATTGGGCAACAGATGATATTCCTGTGTGGGAGTGGAGAAACAAATGCTATCCTTGTGCTAGGGTGGGGGAAATGAATGCTAGAACTTAATCAGGAACATGAACTAGTCGTAAATGTATTGAAAGTGATTAAGGCTTTGCAACAGTTTGTTTTTGTATTTCTAAAAGATCCAGAGGTACAGCAGGGTATATTTTTAACAGTGACAATCTGCATTATGGGTATGTACAGGTAGATTTTACCTGTGAAAACAACAATATGGGACCATAACATAATACTATATTTATACTGTTGATATTTGTGTTAGGATTACACACCCTCTGTAAGGTAAGAATAGGAAGAAGATTGGGTATATTTCCTGTCTGCCAGGAGCTAGGAGCTAGCATGATGCTTTGATGCAGTATCTGATGAGTGTAGTGCAATTCCTGCAGAGTTCTGTTGGAAAGCAAGAAAATGATGCACATGCATATGGTCCCTGATTTACAGGATTACACCAGCACAGGGAACCTCGGTAAACCACGAGACTGGATACACACCATTGTATTGTTGAACCTGTATATTTCACATATTTTCTGAATGCATGTTCCATAAGAAAAAGTCTTTTTTTTTGTTTTGCTCAAAATCTAATTGGCAAATTTTAGTCCTGTTCATTCCATTTATGTTCGTCATTAGGTAATTCATTGCAGTGATATTTCATTCGTTTAGCTGAGTCACTAGATTCATACAGAGTTTTCTGTAAACTATCATAAACTTTACAGATATTTTCTGAAGTTCTGTCACTGATTCCTAAGGTAAAGTTGTATAAATATACCAACAACTGTTTCATCAGGGAATACTGGTATGTTCTATGGTGATTCTTGGTTTGGAGCCTGTAGCAGTCTAACACGTGACACTGACGAATCTGTTAGACGTTGACAACCAATACTGTACCTGTGATACAGCTGCCGCTGTGTTGCCGATTGTGAAGATGATGATGTGGTGTTGAAAGGACTGACAATGATACAGCTGTGTTATTGATGAGATGTTTGTGGTGGGGCTGTCACTGCATCAGTATTAACAATGCTGCTGTGTTATTGACAGTGCTCACAGTACTAGGCTGGCAATGATGCAGTTTTGTCCTTTTAAAGCAATGATACTGTGTTGACAATACTGTGATGAAAAATGCTGTTGTTTTGTTGACAAGATTTGAACACATTTCTTTAGAATACAGGCAATATATAATGATTGCAGATTGAGATGTTGTAGGTGTTCTATGGCTTTGTACGTAATGGAAACAATAGAACATGAATTAATCAGACAAGTGTTGTTGTTCTTTATTAGGGCACTGTATATGGAGGCACTTTAGTAATCCCCAAAATTCTTTAATTTTTGGTTTAATACTTAGCTCGTAGGACCTAGGTGAGTGTAGTACAGTATCTTCAAACAACTCTTTTAACCACTAAGAACCACTGTATGCAATTTCACTAAGTTAACTGGTGCTTAAAATAACGGTACACATCAGGAAAGGCAGACACCCTCGCCCCCACGCTGGGTGACAGGGCCAACAAGGGGTTAAGTGGTGAAAGGGCCAACAAGGGGTCAAGTGGTGTCATATTGTCTTGAGCAAATTGTTAATTTAAAGTCATCTACACGTGGAGAGTATCTAGAAAGATGTAGGACTAACCATTAGTAATTACTTGGAAATAGTTGAGATTCCCACCCTCGAAACAAAAAGTTGCTTGCTGAAGAAAATAATATAATTAGATACAAATATGCTACCAAAATTTACGCCATGGTTCATCACCAATCCTGGGAACTTTGTCCCAAGGTGATAGCATAGAAATAACTTTGATCCCAAACTCGTATCCAATTGCTGAACATGACAGACAATCACAATCATGCTTTCCGAATTTGCTCAAGGGTGTGGCCTAACCCTTGGGGACTTAGTTCGTGGGTCATTAAAATGAAAACTGTCTTATAACCATTAATTACACTAATGAGACATTGTCCTTTGGTCATCAATTAGAAACTGTTCATACCGGCACCACTTTACCATAAATGTGTTTGTTGGACATGAAAAGGCAAAACACTATCGTTGTACCTTTGCCTTAACCATGGATTCTGTCTCCACGGTTAGTCTTATTTGTAATGTTACTTCAAACAGTAATACTTTTCCATCAGTGCTTGGCCGTAACAGGCCTCTTGTTTGCTCTGTGCGATAAACCATTAATATGACAGTATTCCGGGAAACTTTCGCCCTACACTGGTAAAATCCGTTTTCGTCCAGTGGTAAATTCGCGCTTCACATTTGATTGCTATTTTTATTATGTTGTTTTCTGATGTTGGTTCACGTGATAAAATGATAAATTTGTCCGAGAACGAAAAAGGGTTGAGTGCGGTGAAAATTTCCCGGCATGCAGTATTCAATTCTGATAAAATGCAAGCCTGAACAAAGGCTTAGGCAGAGTTCGAACTTGAACAAAACCTGGACATAATTCAATAAGCGTACTATGCTCAGGTTGGTTACCCGTTCCTAAACGGAAGATGATGAGGGAAATGTGCCTTCAATTTAGAGACATTTTGTGAAGGTTATATAGATACTTATTGCAACATTTTGACAGGAATTCAAACCTGTCAAATAGCTCATTAATCTTAGTATTTATGAAAAACAAATCCAACTCGTCTTGCCTGACTGGCTAATTGAGTACAGGTAGTACTGGGTAACCATCACATGTCCACCGTCCGCCCGGTCAGACAAACAAGGGTATAACCATCCTACCAAATCTAACTGACCTTTACACACAAGGAATGCCGTGTATTTAAGTGGGATACTTGTACAGCTATAGGGTATTTGTGTATTATATAGGGTCCTAATATAGTCCAGAAGATTATTCTCGAGAATTGTCGTCACAGCTCTGCAAGGTGTAACATTTTAATCCATACTTGTTTCAGTGTAAGCACATAGGATTATAACCAGACTTGGGCGACCTTCCATTGTTTGGTTGATTTCGAAATGTAAACGAAACACATTGGCAATCATTTGTTGTATTGCAGTAAGATAAGCCAATAATCTTCTTTTTCTTAACTGGAAACCGTTAGTCTCACCATTGTAACCGTCGAATTGAATGGCGAAGGGCAGTATAGTATAACTGCATTGGAAAAGAACATTTAATGTATTAAATGGATGTTAGGGAAATGTGGATTTGAAACATGGACAACGATATTGAGTGAGGAATACCCAGTACCAAGAGACTAGTGTAACGTTAACCAAGTCACGATGTTGGCCTCAGACCAGCGAACCCCATACCAGATCTTGATGACGCTGAAGGCACGATCATGTATTCAGGATCTTAAACTACAAAAAATGGTCACCGAGCTGGATATGTCAAAACATACCAAAACCTTTCCCTCCGTCTCCATGTTTGACACAAACAAGTCTGTGAATTTGTTTCCGTCTTTTGCCATCCGACGGGAAAAGACTATTGGGGAAATAAACTGTGCGAAATATACATGGAGAGAAAAGGAACATTTGGTGAAAAAATTGGAACTTGCAAAAACTGAAAAAGTTCGCAAGTCTATGTTTGCTGTGTCTGGCTCGCGTATTAACAAGGATAATGTTGATGAAAAGAGGCCTCCTAAAGTGTGGTCCCTGGCGGTGTCCAGGACCTTACCTAACATCAATCAATGTATGACACCCATGCCTCCAAAGTCTTCAATTAAACGCATGTTCGCCAAGAAAGAACTACAAGAAAGACCAGTCACAAAGCCGGTGAAGGTTGTCAAAGTCCCCCCGACTCCACTAAACTCCCAGCGAAGTGCGCGTAGAGTGAGGGACACGCCACACGCCTCAATCACGCAAACAGAACAGGAGGACGACGGTACGACAGAGGGAGAGACAGAAAAGATCGAGTCTAAAGAAGACGTGTCGCTGCCTCAGATTCCCTCCCCGAACATGCTAAATAAGACTACGATGACGGTAGGCAGTGTCGACTTGATCAGAGATTCGGTGGATGAGTTACACGAGTCACCAGTCAAAGAGGTCAACGCCTCACATGAATTGTTTAATTCCCGATCATTGACAAGCAGAGGAGGCCGGAGGCCACAAACACAGCCCAAGATGTTTCCCAATCTTGGTCGTTCGAAGGAACTCAAAGAGCTCATGAAACTTGCTCCAAAAACGGCTGGATCTGACGTTCTACCTAGAATACTGGCCAGTAGGGAACGCAGTCGTTCCGTGAAGGCTAAAAGCCGCCATCTTCCCCCACCTTTCAAGATACCACATAACTCCTTCACCAACGTTTGTACGTCCAGCATCAAGTGATCCAATCTCCATGGAGCTCTCCAAAACTTACTCTTCTAAAAGAAGTGAGAATTTATCAAACATTTCCAATTTGAAGTCATATCTATCTTATGTATCGGTGAACGTTGGTATATTGCTGTTTATCTCCCTGTATGTTAAAATCCCCGAGAGAAAGTTGTCATATTCTTGTGAATATTCCTTGGATGATTCTTGGAGAGTGCAAACATCATTGACCTCTTTTTCTGTGAACATTCCCGGGAAAATGTTCACATATAACCAGACTTTCCACGACCATTCTTGTTGGGTTGTTGTTCTCTAGTCAGAACCTCTGTTTCTGTAACATTCATAGACCATGATAATTTTCTACATTCACCTGACTTCCAAATATGTGAACATATCCACAGTGGATTGTTTATGTGGATATATATGGACATTACTAGAGGACTGCTATCTATCTGTTAACAAGGGAAAGCACTGGTGTCCGAAAGGTGTAGAGATGTCACTGTAAACACGTTGATGGCCATCCACGATACTACCGGGTTATGCTCCTCTACATTTTCTGCACTCCTGGAATTAGCCATCATAAAACTGAATGCAAGTAGCTAGCAATTTCACCGTTACGCTGTCGCATGATTTTTTTGATGTACATCATAGGAACAAACTTAGTCTATGTGTATCATTCACACCGTGACGCACACTGAGCCCTTCCATATTCAATGCCATATTTCAAAGGTGCAGAGCGCGTTATTGGGCGTATAACCCCTAGAGTATCGAGGGTGAATGTGGCCAGAAAAGGTATGACATTCACTACAATTGTTGGAGAACTTTTTTTGTACCAAAAAGTAGATTATTTCATCCTGAATGTACATGATTTGCAGAGATCTGTATTTTAAAGCAAGAAATCCTATCAGAGTTATTGATGTTCAAATGCACGATAACATTATATGGATTATCTTTTAGAGTCGGTTACTAGATAAGATTTAGTCGAAACATGATAGACCATTACGGGTGATGCCATTTCTGTCGCGTTAACTTAACAATTAAAGAACCACCCTACAATCACTTTTACATCAAAATAACTCTTGTTCGAGCATACCGTGGTTCCGTCATCACAGGTAAGTAAGCACTGCCTTCAGACATTTCTATACCATGATGGTACGCATGTGCTGTAAAAAGTATTGGTACGGTGGCTCTGGAACAGTGGCAACCACGCTAACCAAGTTCCATTTGTAATGGCGTCACAAGAGTGAAGATTAGTTTCGTTTCGAATAGCGTTATTATTTTGTCGGTCTCGTTGCTTGTGACAACACATAGTTTGCCAATTTCGGGTATAATGGCGTCAGTATGGTTCAGCAACTATTTGCAAAGATGCAAAAGTAACTTGTCGATACTTGGTTAAAAATAGATTATTTTTTATTGTTATTATTTATTGCAACACCTGGTTTCGTGTTTCACATTGTGATGGCGGCTACATATCTCAATAAAGGATGTAGGATAAGAATGGTTCGTATTCTGTATCCTCGGTAGGGGAGGGGGACATCTCTACCCTACTATATAACACTCGTTTAATTGGGCGTATTGATCACTCGTAATGCTAGCTATCGGATGAAGACATGTGGTATTGGTCATATATCCAGCTACACCAGACAACCAGAATTGTGCCGATAGATCGATTATCCACTAGTGGCAATATTAAAAAGGACGACAGTTTTTAGTTTAAGAATCGCTTGATATATGTACATTTCCAAATAAAAAGTTTTGAAACGTACACCGCATTCAGTTTTGAATACAGCTATCAACTATGTTTGTATAACATAACGTCGAGACATATTTGACTTGCGTATACGTATAACCCTACACTTATTACCCTGACGGTTCAGTAAACGATACCGAGTGATGCTACTCCCAAGTGATACTACTCCTCCCAAAGTAATGCACCGATTCAAATGATACTAATAACACTTAACTTTTATTAATGAAGGACTTCCTACCCTTCGAAGTGCACGTTTTTCTTGTCGCGCAGCCTCTTAAAGTAGATATGAAGAAAGTATGTAGATTGTTGTATACTCAGAAATTTAATGGAGTTACGCCCCTTTCGTTTAAAACTAAAAGGGAGGTGATTAGGATATGTAGGTTTGAGTTGCTTCCCCATTTAATTGAGTTGTACTCCTTTTATTAAAAATATTGTTCACACTACTCCCAAATAACTGCGCCAATTTTGAAGATACCTGGTACACACAAGACTTATATTGACTTTACCTTCCCATTCAATGGAGTTGTTCCCGTGATAACACTTACATCGAATCGGTCGTGAAAATACTCCTATTTATGAGCTTTTGTCCCTTTGTTTGAAAACATTTTCAAAAGAACTTTGTCGACAGTTCTTGCCACAGACGGGGCATTTAAGCCTGCCATTCTGGCGACAACTCTAGATTTGTTCTCAATACAAATTAATGATCAGTATACGGATCTGCCTCAACTATACTTAGTTACAAATAACGCTTCGTCGTTGGCTCTGCTAATTGCTCAACCAAGACATTATCCAAACGTCTTACTACCATCATTTGTGTCATTAAATTAGGGTTGCAAGCTTATAAGACACTTCTGTAGACTTTGAAGAAATCAAGAGATATTTTAATCACTCTCGAACTTCCGTTCTTCATTTGTTTCTATCAAAACTATATACTTTCCCACTCTTTACCTCGTACCAAACTGATGGAACGCCTTTGTTCTGTTAACATGTGCGGCTTCTTTTCCATAGAAAGACGAGAGCGATATGAATATTTAGTTGTTATCGGTAAAATTTAGAACATATTTTGTGAAAAGCACAACGGTTGTTAAGATCGTGAGAACGATTGACCTAATGGTTGACAATACCTTTATCAAGTGCGATGGTAGGATTTTTTTAAGAACATTGTAAGCATCTGTTTGTTGTGACCCTCCTCTGCCCGCCTGGCTGAGGCTGCATTGATCGCAGAGCTTATCAGGATTGGTTACAAAACACAGGCATTTGTTTCTGTCAATAAAAATGGTCCTGACAATAAGAAGTCACTCCTCATATAAAATGGTAAAATGATGCGACTTCTTATTGTCAGGGTCATTTTTATTGACAGAAACAAATTTGTAACAATTTGTTTTTTTTTTATTTTTTTATTTGATATACATCGACATGAACAACAAGAAATTGGTTGACCATACACTACAGACAGCTAACCTTTACTTACAGCATGACCAACGGTAATAAGCTGTACGACAAGTGGGAAGATTTCGATTTTCTTAGCGTGAACTTTCCATTTCTTAATAGTAACGTTCCTGCTTTCCAATCTAGAGCTGCATCTTGCAGTTGATTCGGTATTCAAGGCCTTGCTCCGAATGTCACGATTTCTGTGGTGCATATCGACTGCTGACGGACGAACAAACATACAACACAGGTTGATTAAGACAATTGACAAGTTTTATGTACGCCATCACGTCATTACGAAATATGCTATTTATTTGTGCGATATGAAGGTCAATATTTTTTTATAATGCTCGTAAGTGCGCCCCGTTTAGTTGTCACTACTCCGGCTTTTGCTATGAGAACTGACATTACTTGGATTTGACCTAGATTTACATGTGGATGTTGTCGATGAAGCAGGAGACGTTTACCCTTCTGGAACACCTTATTCTCCTTGTACCTTTTCTCATACGACTCCATGTAAACCTTTCCTTTGCCCAGACATGGTTTTAGCTTCATGGTTGGATATTGGATAAGATTTTGTTTACACTTCAATATTCTCGTTTTTAGCCCACCATCATCTGATGGTGGGCTATTCAAACCTACCTGCGTCCGGGGTCCGTCCTTCCGTTGATCGTCCGTAAGCTGTGCAGGGCAACTTTTGAGCCTGATGGGATAATTAACATGGCCGACAGGCAGCCATCTTTGATTTTGATAGTGAAAGTTTGTTATGGCTATTTCTCGGGAAGTATCAGAGGAATCTTTCTCAAATTTTATATGTATGTTTCCCTTGGTCCTAAGCTGTGCAGGGCAACTTTTGAGACTGATCGGTTAAACAACATGGCCAACAGGCAGTCATCTTGGATTTTGATAGTGAAAGTTTGTTATCGCTATTTCTAAGGAAGTACCAGAGGGATCCCTCTCAAATTTCATATGTAGGTTCCCCTTGTTGTGCACCCAGCAGTGCCTGAAATGAACGGTCGCCCGGTTGCCAATGGCTATTTAAGTATTGCTCGGGCGACCAAAAGTTGTCAAAATTGAGGTAGTCACTGGCCCAACACAAATAGTTTGGGCGACTGTCGAAAAAAATATGAATGAAAGAAAATATAGTCCCTTCCACATTAACTGGGGGGCAGTACATTTTTTAGTTGTCATTACTTCGATTTGATTTTCTATATAAAATACGGCCAGGATGTCCTCTTTAAAGTGCGAGTCTTGTGTATTTCTTTGGGAAATACTAAAGACCTGAATGGAGTGGTACTGTCAGGTTTTAACAAGAGGCCCAATGGGCCTGCATCGCTCACCTGGTATAAATCTCACACCTGTAACCTTAAAAGTGATCTAAAATAAAGCTACAGGAAAAATATCAGTATTTATGATTAAAATTCATTCAAAAGATCCTGTCAATTCTTTGTTTAAAACATTTCACCCCTGTGATTGAAAGTCGAACAAAGTCATTATGTTGAACAAATTTTATAGCCTTTCATCTCAGGATGCAACTTGCAAAGTATCAACATCCTGGGACCCATGGTTATTCAGAAGAGGTCGTTTAAAGATTTTAAATAAATTTGACCCCTGTGACCTTGAACAATCATAGTAGTCCTTGATCCCAGCATGCTACTGACTAAATGTCAACATCCTGAGCCTTTTGGTTATTCAGAACAAGTTGTTTAAATATTTTGAACATATTTGCTCCTTGTGACCTTGCATATGATTCAAGGTCATACCTTTAAACAAACATTGTAACCCTTGATCCTAGTATGCTACTGACTAAATATCATCACCCTGGGCATTTTGGTTATTCAGAAGTTGTTTAAAGTTTTTAACATATTTGACCCCTGTGACCTTGAATATAAGTGAAGGTCGTTCATTTGAACAAACTTGATAGCCCTTTATCTCATTATGCTACTGGCCAAATATCATTACCCTGTGCATTTTGGTTGAGAAGAATTTGTTTAAAGTTTTTAACATATTTGACCCCTGTGACCTTGAAAATTGGTGAAGGTCATTAATTTGAACAAACTTTGCAGCCCTTCACCCCAGTTTGCTTCTGGCCAAATATCGACACCCTAGACCTTTCCGTTATTACGAAGATGTCATTTAAAGTAAAATATTGACGCCGGACGCTGTGCCACGGCGTAAGCTCACTTGGCATTTTGTTTTAATTAGGGTTGAAGAATTAAAAAATATGTTTCATTCTGTTTAACATATTACATTTTTACTCGCCCCAAAACAAAATCTTGGGCCAGCCAATGCAGGTTCCCCACTATCCTTTATTGTTCATGTTTACTTTTGAAACTGATCAGTTAAAAAAAATGGCCTACCCTCAGCCATTTTCGATTTTTGACATTGAAGGTTTGCTGGTACTATTTCTCAAGAATAACTTTAGGGATCTTTCTCAAATTTGATATGTAGGTTCCCCTTGATCCCTCGTTGTGCAAGGAATATTTTGAGACTGATCATATAAACAAAATGGCTTAAGGAAGAACTAAACAGATCTTTCTCGTATTGCAATTATAGATTCTATTTCTTTCACTTTAAGTACTGTAATAGTAAATATGTTAAATGACAAACTCTCTTTGAAGGTTGGCTTTCATACACATCAGTATAACTGGTGCATTTACTGTTAACATGACTCGATCAAACAGATTAGAGGAGAAAGAAAAGATCGAACTGACAAAGAAGTAATGAAGATGGTACAATTTGTACCATCTTCATTACTTCTTTGTCAGTTCGAAGTGTAACAATGGTGGGTGCCAAGATCCCTCTTCTTCATACTCCACAATTGTTCGTATGGTTATCTGAACCATTTCATGATCTAGGGAAGAATTCCCTTTAGGCAGGGGCAGAGCTCAAGACCAATCCTGGCAACATACATGTGTTTGACTTTCATGCACAGCAATTCTATGACTATATTGGTTTGGCATCCCAACAATTTACACGACAAGACCATGGACAAAGTCCTTAAGAGCAAAGGCAGACCCAAGGTCAACTCCGATTTCAGATGTCTCTTTACCTTCGTTCATAAATTTAAGGGTAGAGCTAAACCCAGGGGGCTTTTTCTCTTCAATCTCAACGAAAATATTCATATAATTATATAAAAGATGTCCAGGATGGTGATCTCAACCATTAAAGTCTAACTTCCTATGGGCAGGCGCAAATCCAAACGCCCATCTAGATTTGAACTCATCATGCTCAGCATTTGTATATACAGTTATTGGTTAGAGATCTCTCGAATGTCTTGGCTCCCTTCATTTGTACAATTTTGAGTCCCCAACCCCAAGAACACTTCCAACCAAATTTGGTTGATGTCTGTTCCAAGTTCTAGAGTAACTGTTTCATATCATATGTCAAAATACAAGATGTAAAGACCCACCCCTTGGCCCTCTTTGTGACCAGGTTCAATAAAATAAAAGAAGACAGTATTTGATGTTCATTTTTTAATGTGATTGGATTTCTTCAAATATTTCTTTTGGTTTCATTTGGCCAATTGTGCGCACACAAATTTAAATTGTCCTGCTCTACAGGTATTTTGTAAATATTTCAAAAGTGTCAATAAACTGACCTCTCTGACCACACAGGGTCATCATGCAGTCAGTTTTGAGTGCCTGGTAACAGGTTCGGTTGATATGAAAAGTCAATATGCACACACACAAGATGAAAGCACATGGAAATTTCAAGACGATATATTCACACTGATTTTTAATACATTTTGTCTTTCCAATTTTTTTTTTTTATCTTCCTAGTCTTTCTCCAAGGTTTATATAATACTACATATCTTATTCAGTGTCCAATCAAAATTGCCATGTGCTTTTATTTTTTTCGATTTAATTGAATTTGAAAACGAGGACTTGGCCAGCATTAATAGAGATGGATTTCTCATCAAGATTAAGGTTCTTTTCCTCCTCCCGGATCTTATACTTGGAGTGAAAGACAATTTCCAACTGGGCTGGTACATCTGCATCCTTGTCCAGATTCACTGTCTGGCTTCTTGTGCCCAGGTTCATGAGAACAACATACCCTGGGAATCCTTCTGCATGGCGTTTAAACCACAGACTTTCCTGTACAGTACCAATGGTAGTCTTGCCCCACTGGAACGATTCCTCTTCCCTGATTTTGGCCAGCTTGTCGAAGACATACAGCTGCGTCCCATCCGTATTTCTGTCCCTAAAGTATGCGTTTTCAGTCTGAAAACAACAATATTGTTATTAGGTTTTTGCAAGTATACCTATTTTGATATTTACATGTAAAGGTAAAACTAAGTAGTGACAGTGTGGCAATAAACCATCAGATTAATCAATGGATAGAAATGTAATTCAATTGTGATTATTTTCTCTAAAAAAAAAGAGAAGCATTGCAGGATAATTTTCTATTATATCAAAGTAAACATGTTCTTTTTCAAAATTAAAGGTGAAAAAGAATAGATTCCGATACAAAAGACAAATGCTTACCTGAACATTCACGCTGTCTGAATCGTTATTGACTGGTAGCCAAGGTTTTTGCTTAGAGAAACCTGCATACAAGCCACTGGTCCACTGCATGGGTGTACGGTATGGATCCCTACTTTTAGCTTGATCGTAGTCGGCCTATAATTATCAACAAAATGTGAGTTACTATTTAATGCTAAACATTACAGAGTGCTCCAGGATCTATAAAACATAAAAATATCAGGCCATCACTGTTCTAACAAGGGGAAGGTGACTAATTGAAGGTCACATGCTTGTGACATTTCCAACTTTTCTTTTTTCTGTAAAAACATGGAAAATAAAATGCAAATAAAACACAAGTAATTTATTGGATCTGTCTTCATCTGGGTTTTGTACAGATTTGTGGTAGCTCACTGCTATACTGGTAGATTTGGCTGCTGTTAAAATATTTCTGAAAGGGTACACCGCATTTAATTTCATAAAGAGGAGAATTTTTTTAAAGCAACATGGTCCTATTCAGATCTAACAGCACATTTTGCTAAACTTTGAAAAAACTTAATAAAGTTTCAGCAAACAAATTTTGTACAATTCGGTCTTTCTTCATGAAAATGTTAACCCTTATGCTGCTACATTGATTTCTATGTAGAGGGACACCACTGCTGAATTAATTATTGAAATATATAAATTAATTTACTTGATTTTTCAAATGTGCATAACTTTGTGCAAATATTGTTATATGTCACTAAAAGTTATATGAAAATTGTTCGTTATTGTCTGTAGTTTATATTAACGTTTTCAATTCTAAAGTTGCTTCAGTATTTACCTGTACATTTACCTGTACAGGTGGTAATAAAGGTAAGAAAAGGTGAAACTTTAAATTAATCAGATTTAAGCACCAGAAAGATCATTTTAAAATTATTTTTGTCAGCAAATGTGATTGGCAAATGATAACAGAGATTATAAACTTTTTTTATGACATAAGACGCTGTACATTTTTACACAGAGATTCTCAGGTAAAAAGGTCAGGTATTTCATCAAGAATCGCATGCGATTTTCCTACAGGATTCAGGTCGTCATTCAATATATTTACTGTCACAGTCGGCATATAGATATATCTTAGCTACGGTCTAGTTTATGATTAAATCATCGATAAATAGTTTGAAGAAATCAATCGGCTTAAAACGTATCAATGTCAATGTTCAATTCGGCCTCACCTGCAGACGACATAATTTTCATGTTTGCTTAGGGCACAAAGCCGTTCATTGGAAAGTTACATTATGTTACACCGAAGTATTTCCACATCAACCATGTCAAACACTTCAAAACCTTTATTATCATTGTAGGTGGCGCTGGAGAATAAATGTTGACCATCATATTCATCACTTCAATCTACACGTCCGCCATTTTTATGACGTTTTTTCCCAATTTGAAATTCTCTCGCACACTTTGGTTATTACTAGGGTACATCGCCGGGAATATCAAAAGTAATGACAAAACAACCAATCAGAAGCCTTCTACTATACACTTTTGGGTTTGGTATAGCAACAATCCGCTTTCACACTTCCTCTAAGTCTTTACTGATCAACAAGAGGCCCAAGGGCCTTAGCAGTCACCAAGTTATATCATAGGTACTGGTAGCTTTATTTTATTGTTTAGATGCGATGTGGAAATCAGCATTTAAACTAAGTGAAATACAAAACTTGTCATGTCATCAAAGGATAAGAATTTGAAAATATTGGTAAATGTTCCCTTTGGGGCCCCGCCCTGGCCCCTAGGGTTGGGGTAGGAATTTCAATTTTACAATTTGAAACCATCTTCCTCCAAGGATAATTCTCACCAAGTAAAAATGATTTCCTACAGAAAATTGTCAAAATATACCAAAAAGTGTTGTTTCCCTATATAAACTTTACCCCCTCCCCAAGGGAGAACGGATAGTTCGGGGGTCTTAAAATTTACAATTTAAGTAAAGCACCTGATGATCTTTCTTTCCATGTAGAGAAAATGAGTGTAGTACCTCTGAGTCTGAAGAAGAAGATTTTTGAAATATTGGTTAATTTTCCCTTTGGGGCCCCGCCCTGGCCCCAGGGGTTGGGGTAGGAATCCTAATTTTACAATTTTGTAGCCTCATCTACCAAGGATGATTCTGACCAAGTTTGAAAAAACATCCATCCACTGGTTCTTGAGAAGAAGTTGAAAATGTAAAAAGTTTACGCACAACGGACGGAAAGCGATTAGAATAGGTCACTTGAGCAAAGCTCAGGTGACCTAAAAACCTACAGACCGAGAGCCACAATTGCCCTGCAAAACCAGCGTAGCAGCCTTAGGGTTAATATGTATATTTTTCTTCTTGTGTATGTTTTTTTACTAGGAAAGCAACCACTTACAACTAAAAACATAAATGTTCTTTTAACTTAACTAACAACAAATGCAGAGATTTAAATAACTTATGAATTTGGAAACTATTCATATCTGAGCCAGGAAATAACAAGTGCCATTGCGGCTTTGCTATGCCATATTTAATATGTACTACACTAGTATTATGAGGTGTACATGCAATAGCATCAATTTGTGATTCGCAATAGTTCCGAGCATATTGAAATACAGGCAGCTTTCTAAATAAGTCAACCTCACAAAACCCAGTGTGTTGACAACACTGGATTAAACTGCAGATCAAACCATTAACTTCTAAATAAAAGTCTTACCAAGGATACATCTCGCACCAAGATGTCCTGTCTGTCTGCATAATCAATGAGGCCATCCTCAATGCCCAGCTCATTGCCATAGTAGTTAACAGGTATACCTGGCAGCAGCATCTGGAGCGCCAACATTGCCTTAACCATGGTCCTCCCAGCTTTTGTGGCAAGTCGAGACTCGTCCTGGTTTCCATACTAAAAGTAAAAAAATAAAGAAAACATTTTTCAAATAGGTTCTTGTCCAATTAAGATTCACCCTACATAAATCTTCAATGAATCATACCAGATATGTTAAATAAAGAAGGCCAAGCCTGGTTGTTCAAAGCATAATTTGTTTGCAAATTGTTACCCAATATCTTCAAATTGATTTGAAGAGTCATTTCGAGTGTTTGCGTCTTTTTTTTTTGGCCTTCAGATGATCATTTTGTTAAGTCTTTCATTATGAATGTGTGTCAACTTTCATTGGAAAAAAGAAGAAGCAAAATTCTACATGTAATTTGGCATCCACAGCTTATCAGGCTTTGTAAATGTAGGAAGTCTTTGGGGTTATTTTTTTTTACTGAACAAAACAAAACGAGCAGGAGGAACTCGTAAAATGTACACTTCCCTATCCTCGCAATGTGGTCAAGTGTGACATTTCCCTAATTAGACCCTTTACCATTGACCACCAAAACTAATCTGGTGTAGAACTATGTACCAGATTATCATGAAAACATGCAACATATCTTTTTGAGGCATATCTTGCATAAAGCTTGTGACTATAGAGAGACAAAGTGTGACCTTTATCAACCATCCATCTTGAAGAATGAGCATTAAAATCATACTAGCTGTAGAGCTGTATGTTGCCAGATACTAACTAAAGCTGTTGTTTGGTTCCCGAGATGTCTTGTAGACAAAGCTTTTAACTTCAGATGGATAGGTGCAAGGAGACAGCAGCTACTACATACACCCCACAGTCCTTACATAAGGGGCATACAAATGTTAGCATGAAGAAAATCTTGTCCGACAAGATGCTACTTACAGACCAAGCCCGTTTGGTTTGACCAGCATCTATGAACTTCCTGATCCTCGACTCTATATTAGCTGCTGTCACTGGTTTTGCGAAGTCAACAGGAGATGTAAGCACATAGTCTGCTCCCTTCTTGGCAGACGTGCCATAATACAAGCTAGTTTCATTGATGTTTCCAGTTGCTGCTACCATCAACATTCTGAATAATAAACAATAAATCATATAATAGACACCAGTAACATTTTCAGTCTTCCATATACCTTACTTAGTTAATCTTAACCCTTACTGTGCGGGAAACAAGAAAACTTGTCCTGGACATTTTGCTTCGAGACATGGGAAACGAGATAACTCGTTTTGGAAAACCCCTTTGTTCATCATATTAATAGCTGTCGACCGTGAACCAATCAAATCAATTGTCAGGGGGATTATATGTACACGTCATTTTAATTTTTAGCGTTGATTAGTCGGTTACAAGGTTAGTAAAGGTCTATTAAAGGCTATTCATAAAACGACAGTTATTCGTCAGAAAATGGAGGACCAACAAAATTTTGACGGTGTTGAAGTGGGATATATAGTAGCATTGGAGTAAACTGATTATCCTACATTCGCCATATCAATCTTTGTTTATATTTGACATGTCTTGTCAGGACCGACATGTCGTCCTCGGAACACGAATAATTATTTTGCCCGACAATTTTCATTGGACTTATTGAGAGATCTTTAATTTATAATTATTGACAACAAATTCTCTAACACAGACCAAAATGACAGCACAGAATCATAATCGGACTCAAAAACGTGTAGCATTGACTTACCTGTAGTTAACACAGGTTATTTCTATATAAAATGACTGATTGAACTAATATCAAATCAACTCAACATAATATGAAAGAGTGTGAATGTCTTTATTTTAAAAAATATGAACAAACAATGAGTTATTATCAATGGACAAGACACTGAACATTTTACTTTGAGTTCACCGGTCTGGCCTAGGCATTTATAAGCTGTATATATGAGCAGGTTATGTCATAGCTAATAAGTGTGATATCAGAAATTCAGAATAAGAGTCATTCTTCATATAATGTCAACATGCACTGCATTTTAATGTCAATTAAAGGGAATAACAAAGAAATTCTATTAATTATCAAATACTTTGCCTGTCTCTCACCTGTACAGGTAATTATAGGAACTTTTAAAAAATGTCCAAGGTTAATAAGATAGGTCTTAATACAAGGTTCCTAGAACATGTAGGTTTTGAATAGGTGTGAGCTACAGAAATGCCAATTAAGTAATTTTTAAAATTGAAATAATTTAAAAAAATATCTACTCAATTAATTCAGTAGGAGCATTGCTTACTATGAAAAGTAATGCAGCACAATAAGGGTTAAGACACCCAAAGATTCTACTCTTCACTTACTTTTCTTTTCCTGGTTTAGTTGCATAACTTTCGGCAATTGACCTCCACCTACTGATGAGAGAGATGGATTCTGGCAGGTTACGAGGGAGAGTCTGAAAAAGAATCAAGAAAAATGGACTCAATTTTTAAAGCACCAAAAACAGACCAAAATCTCCATCTTAAAAGCACCTTATCTTACCATCCTCAATTTCCCAGGGGTAACATTAATATCAATAGCAAAATTAAAGACACACTGCTAATTATTTAATTTAATCTTTGGTTAAAAAACTGACCAATCGCTAGGCTGATACCTGATCTTCATTTCATAGATTAGAGTGACATTTTCACTAGATGAATAGTCATTGTCACTAATAGTGTGGCATTAAAATGAATAGTCTTGACGCAGATTACAACTGGTAAGTTTAAGTGTTTAAACAAATTATAGTGATTTGCAAGAGACAGACAAAAGGCAAAAGGTTTCATGTGCAAAATCTGTGACTTTGTTCATAGCAACTAACTGATAATTCATCCCAGTCCCGAGTCCTTTATCGCGTGCAAAAGTTGGAAATTCATCTAGGGTCACACGTGCAAAAGTTGGAAATTCATCTAGGGTCACACTTCAAAAATTGGTGGCATCTGCCTTGTTTTATTATGTATACTGATATTGATCGACCTGTGACAAACATTATCACCATCTTTCCATTATTTTTATAAAAGTAAAATATCACAACAAAACATACACACACAAAAAATAAGCACATCATTAATTCATTAACAAATTTGATAATATAAACTAGTTATAATATAAGCTTACATCTGCATTAGCATTGCTTCCATTTGATTCCAAGTACTCTGCTCCAATGATATTGAATCCATCCACTCCCAAGTCGAACCAAAACCGCATAATTGACTGAAATCATCAAACAATTCACAATAACTTCTGTCCTACATATTCCGTGGAATAAAACAAACGATTCATTATCTTTCATTTTTGACACATCAAAGTATTAAAAATCACTATTCACAAAAAATTGTGATTCTAGGAAAAGTTTGCGATCTGACCATCAGTTCTAGGTACGAGTTACCAACACCTCATCTGCACATGCAAGTTTCTTCATCACAACAATGTGATCAAATTAGATCTTTGAATCACTCACATTTATTGATATGCTACATGGAATATCCAGCAATATCCATATCAGTAAATGAAAAGATCCATAAATTAGATTGTTGTAACAAGAAGCTTTTACCCTCCCAGGGTAAAGAAGTGTGTACAGTGTACACTGATATCATTCAACGCCTGCAGGTGAATATCTGACGCAGGTAGACACTTTCATAGTCTTGGATAACAATCTTACATTTTCATCAATTCTGTGTTAAATAAAACTGCTTGATCATGGTCATTGAAGAAGGCAAAAATAAAACAGGATGGGGAATAGGTCGAAGTGTATTTCCTCTATTATTACTGAGGGTAGGTGTAGCTTTGCCACTATACTTACATCCATTTCCTTCAGCACAACTGGGTGTGCAAGGTTGAGGTCTGGCTCTTCCTTCAGGTATGTATGCAGGTAGCACTCGCTGCGCTCCGAATCATACTCCCATGCAGATCCACCATTAACACTCATCTGCAACACAAACATTTTAGATATTGCATTGTTTTAACAGACAATTATTCAAGACTTTTCATGCACTTCATTGTGAATTTAATTTTATGTACAAAAATAGGTAAAGTCAAATTAGGACTACTTTTGAAATCATTGTGCAACCTAATACTAAGATGCTTTTTTCCTTTAAGCTGCAGTTTTGTTGATCTAATTGCTACCATTTTCACAGGAAAATTTCAGCTCTTGAAGAACAAATATATATAAACTACAACATCTATTTCAAAACAATAGTTGTCTTGGCATCACATTATTTGTTGTTCTTGTAAAACATTATTGTCATCATTGCAGTCAATGTTCTCAAATGTTTTCAATAAAATGAATCATTTTTTAACAGAAAACATCACTAGCTCAACTCAAAGTATTTTTGTAAAGTATGTGTTAAGGTCAGAACAAACAGTCCTATGTTGGGGTTTTTCGGCCAAAAGAGCCTTACAAAACTAAACCAAAACAATACGACTATGATTGCCTGCTCTTACCCAGTTGTTAGGCATGTCAGCCTGTGTACATGGCATCCAGACATAGTAGTCTTTGTAATCCGGATCATTTTTCCTGCTCATCTGGAACCAGGTATGGTTCTTGCTTGTATGGTTAGGAATGAAGTCCAAGATGATGCGCACTGAAATAAGACAAAGCAGTAAATTTATGAAATAATGTTGATATGAAACTTATTTCATGAAATGGTTTATTGATTTTTTTAAGACAGTTTTCTCCAGTCAACAAGTGCCTTATTTTTCCAAAATGAAGAAAACTACTTAATTTGGTCTTTTGAGCTTCTCAAATTCCAACGGTAGGATTTAAACCCGGTTTATGTGGCTAACCCCAAACTTCCTAGTTTGTTTTAGTTTGTGGTTTTGTATCTTCAGTGATTTCTTTTTGCGCAGCTTTTTTTCCACAAGCTGAAAGTGTGACCAAAAACTGAGGAATATATTCCTAATTTCAATTCAGTAATGTTATATTTCCCAATTCATAAGGCTGTTGTAAAATTGAGGTACTTAAAACAATGATAAAGCATATATGCCAGGTTTTGTTGGTGGAGAAAAACCTTGAGCAAAATTATGGTAAGTGCATTAATGTAGCTGCCATGTGATAAAATGAATTTAATTTATTCACGCTAAAAAAGTGACGAGGATAGTAATTACACATACTCTCATTTTTAGTTTCTTTACGGAGGGCCTTGAATTGATCGAGAGTGCCGTAGATTTCGTCAATGTCTTTATGGTCAACCACATCCATGCCATTGTCCTCTTTTCCAGACTTGTAGAAAGAACTTATGTACAGCGTCTTCACTCCAAGATCTTTGAGGTAAGACAATTTGCTTGTGAGGCCTGTTGGATGACAACAAAGTTAAAATATTATGGTACAGAACTGTTCAGTTATGAAGGCTTAGAAACGTAAATTCTGACGACTCATCTCTTCCTTCGTGCATACATTACATGTCAAGTTTTCAACAATGAAATTAAAATTCTATTCCTTCACTTCAGTTCTTTACCAAAGATATCAAAAAAGTAGATTTTCTATGTTTACCAATGAGAACACAATTTTATGAGGCATTTCTTTCGTGTCTTGTATAAGCACATTTCATGCACATGCATCTGGTACATAAACTGATAAATGGTCAAACAAGACAGGAGACCACATGTTGATATGCCAGACGCGCGCAAATGTCTGTTTCATGAGACTTCTACAGGTCCGATACACTCTGCCGATTGAGCTATATAGCTATAAAGACCTATTATAAATATATATATAATTTTCATTAAATTAAAGCAAAGTCGCATAAAACAATAAGGTTTATGGTAATGTTGACTACAAAAAGCATACATAAATATGTTTATTTTCATTGTTACATCATTATTTTTTAAAAAGAACACTTATATTTAATGAATTTTGTTATCAACCTAATGATAAAATCTTTTTAAAGCGAAATTGTTGTTTTCCTTAAAAAAGAAAATCACTTGAAAATAGCTCAAAAGGTCTATTTCAGATAGGTCAATACTGTGCAGTAGACTAGAGCTATTATAGGTATTTACAGCTAAAGAGTAAGGGTACATGATTTCATACACTTTTTAAACAGATTTACATATTTTTGTTCAAATACATCTCCAAGAAGATCGGATCGACTTTGACCTAAAAGATTTATGCAATCTGCGCTATATCTGGTAATGTGATGTCATGTGCGCAGAAATTTACTGTGCAGTGGATCTTTCTTTTACCATCATTTACTTTAACGTTTCGCGGCAGTTGGGGACGTGATTTCGTACACTCTCAGTGGCTAATCTAGGATTTGGGGAACACTACCCATTTTGAAATGAATTTATATAATGTTAAAAACAAAAGTTTTTTTTTTTTACTATAGATTAAAAATAAGTAGATGGCTTTTCACAGATAAATAATGTGATAATTATAGGAATTTTTATACAATCTGAAGTCTACTGTCTAAAAACAAAATAAAAAATGAAGTCACATATTATGTTAAAACACATTCTGTTTTAATGAATTCAACTTTGGGGAAACTTTCTCCTTCTCGGGGGAATTTTTCTTGATGGGGAATTTGTTTTTGTGAAAACAGTCGTTGGGGAATACTACCGAATTTCGGTAGTAAAATCAGTCTAGATTAACCCCAGACTCTACAAATGTGCTATTATTAGTAAATGGAAGTAAATGCCGTACAAATTCAATATATTTCATGCCGATTTTCATAGACCAGAAATGTTTTTTGAACAAATTATGATTATTTTTTATAAAAAACGTGTTCTTTGTTGGTGGTGACATCGACCCTTTTGTGGAAAAACATCAACTATACATATTCTAGTAGCAATTATTTCATTAGATGTTTATAAAACAATTTCGATGCACCAGAAGGTTTTTGAGGCCAAAAACAAACAAATATTTTAGATCAGTTTCGAAATAATGACTGTTCCCTACGATAAGTGCCCTCTCATTGAGAGCGTGTGTACGTTAAAAAGTTGCTGTTATTTATTATATTTGAGCTTCTTTTTGATATCTTCTTGATGTAAATGGTAAAATATTGTTTTATTTGAATGATCTCAAAATGATCACAAGAAAATTGGCTATATTCTGTTTTAAATAATGCTTTAAAGTTACATTTGGCCAATTCTGCAGACGACAGCTCGACTCGCTATTTTCGTTTTGAAAACGAGGTTATTTTGGAAATCTATGGCTACATTCGCGTATCCCGTCTGAAACGGTACGCGTGGCGCAGAAATTTTCCACGATAAACGAACACACTTGGACCGTTCTATAAGCAGAGCTAAAAATCCACAGTTTCGGAGAATAAAAAACAGTGTTTCAAGAATATTATGACCTTCTTTCATCCGTCCACTGAATTACATAACGTAACTTAAAAACTACATGTGACTTGACATTGTTTTAGAAAGAAATAACGCAAATTGGCAATAGTCAGCATTTTAGTTTCGGTCAGGCACGTCTGGACCCCTCAATCTAAACGTGCCAAATTTTCCTGAGGTCAGCCTCGGTCCAGATCTGTACCTGTCGTTTTCTTTACAGGTTCAACCGGTTCAACCGTTTCAACCGGTAACGCGAATGTACCCNCGTGCCAAATTTTCCTGAGGTCAGCCTCGGTCCAGATCTGTACCTGTCGTTTTCTTTACAGGTTCAACCGTTTCAACCGGTAACGTGAATGTACCCTATATGTATGCCTCCGTCGAAAGTAATCGGTTAAAAAATAAGAAACAAATATTTAGTGTACGAAATCACGTACCCTTACTCTATAGCTCAATCGGCAGAATGTACTGGACCTGTTCTACATATTCATGATAATGTACAAACAGATATATAAAGACTACATAATTAAAACAATATTCACCGCGTGTTGCAGTTTATTGCTGATACAGATGGTCATATTTAAACACTCCGCGTGACCCAAAAAATAGCAAAACCGGATTCTGCATTCTGACGTCATCACAAATTACTTGATTAGGATAAAATGTTAAATGGATAGGCATATTTATACACAAACCTTTGAGATCTCCGACGCCATCTGAATCATCTGAACTCTGACTATCTGAGTTGTCCTTGAACGATCTGAGGTAGACATCATATGCAGTATTTTCGTCGTACCATTTGGACTCGGGGCGGTATGGACAGCGAGGGGCCAGCACGATAATGACAATTGCTGCAATCAACATGGCCAACCATCCCACCCAGAATAGGATGAACAGAAAGATTCTGACCTTCTTCCAGAATGGATCGTCGGCATACTTCATCAATTCTTCTTTCCCGAGTCCGGTGAAAGAGATGTCACCCGATCCGCCATCTTCTTTCGTGTCGATGCCCTTGCCGCCATTGATAAATTTGACCGTAGAATCATCAGGGTCGATTTCTACCGTCGCAGACTCGTTCAAATCGGTTAGAGCCTTCTTTTCCTCGTCCAGTGAATTGGTCTCTGCCATTTCAGTTTTTCTGATATTTCACTAAAGCTAGAACTTGATCTTGTCAAAAGACACCCGGCTACCGCTTCCAGTGATCTCGTCTTTTCTGATGCAATGTGTTCGTTAGCCTCGTTTTGATATCTTGACATCCGGGAGTTGCTACAACGAGGATTGGCCAAAACAGGACGCTGTGGGGCACAATAAGGGATATTCATGATCAAGACACGAAAAAACATTACCTGTTTATATATATAATTACCTCTTTTTCGACACCGTTGTTAGCTAAATTGCTAGTATAGGCGCATCTTGGTTTGGTAACATACTGTTAACCGGTTGTGTAGCATAAAAACTAGGATAAAACTTGGACGGTATATTTTTCCAACAAATGTTTAATCTAGATTTAAAACAGTTAAGAGATGGGGCTTTTACAACTGAATTGGGAAGGGAATTCCAAGAATCCACCACTCTTCTGCTAAAAACATTTTGAGTGACCCTGGTCCTGCTCTGTTTTTTGAATAGTTTTTTTGTTGTTACCCCTTGTTGTTGTTTGTGTGAAGGTGAATAGTTTATCTTTATCAAGAATATCGATGTTGTTTATTATTTTATAAACTTCTACTAGGTTATTTCGTTTTCTTCTGTATTCCAGTGTAGGTAAGCCTAGTCTTCGTATTCTTGAATTGTAAGAAAGGTGTTTTAAAGATTGAATTCTTTTGGTAGCTCTACGCTGCACATTTTCTAAAGCTATTTGGTCCTTTTTCAGAAAAGGGGACCAGACCTGGGTGGCATATTCTAAGTTGGGCCTAATGAGACTCTTGTAAAGTGCAAGAAACATAGTTTTGTCCATATAGGTAAATGTCCTAAAGATTAATCCTAGTGTGCGATTAGCTTTGTTAATAGATTGACTCACATGGTGGTTAAATTTCAATTTGTTGTCAATTATAACACCTAGGTCTTTTTCTTTAGTAACTTTCTCAATCTGTTCACCTGAGGGGAAGTAGTATGTAGAATCTTGATTTAGGTTACCAATATTTAGATGTTTACATTTTTTGGTGTTCAATTTCATTTTCCAATCTGATGTCCATTGGACGATGTTATTGATATCAGTTTGTAGTTCTGCAGACCCTGTTTGCCTAGAAATGTTTTTGAATAGTTTTGAGTCATCAGCAAAAAGTTTTACTACACTGTGTTCGATTATATCAGGTAGGTCATTGACATTGATTAGGAAAAGAACTGGACCAAGGACACTACCCTGGGGCACACCACTCGTCACATCCACCAGACCAGACATTTCCCCATTAATGGATACTCGTTGTTTTAGATTTGAAAGGAAATCTTTAATCCTCTGTAGGATTTTACCAGTTTTTATTGTCTCTGCCCAGTGTTCCATTACTTCAAGTAGGTTTGTTGTACAGGACTTTCCAGCTCGAAAACCGTGTTGGTGAGAGGTGAAGAGGTTAACATATTTGATTTCATAATAGAATCTCAGAAATTTCGCTTATGATAACTTACTTTAATACTGATTCTTATACGTTTTTGAGGGGTAAATTTAACAAATTTCACGAAAGAAAACGTTCACAATTCAAATTTTGTTGTTGACCTGTAACCGAGAATCTGTTCTGCAGATTTTATGTAAAGCGCTTTCGGAGAAACTCATAAGGCCTAATAGCTAGTGTAAGAAACTAAATCTCTTCTAATCCAGGGATTTGTACTACACATCCCTGTCTAATCCTAACATTTTATTGTAGCTTTCCGGTATATATACATTTCATGCTATGCCGGGTTGTTCTTGAAAAAGTGAAAGAAATATCACGGAATATCCAAATCCGTGGTCTTGCATAGAAAACGTAGACGGATGTTTGGGAAAGATTTATTTAGAATCGATCGAAGTACAGCAGTGGTATTTAACACATAGCTCTGTAATATACGTCCCTGATTGTATATCCAGAGATTAGACAGGTCTACGAATTTAATCGTGTACAATCCATGCTTAAATCCCACTGTTTTACTTCTAAAATTTTCGATGTAAGATCTCGACTAGTTAGATTAATTAAGATGTTTTTTTTAAAAATATAATTGTCTTTCGCTTGCACATATCGGTATAACACAAAACTAATGTTAACGTTAGGATTCGATTCCTACCCTGATAGGCTATCATTTGTTTCTTAGTTTGATAACGAATTATCACTGTAGTATATACGTCTCTGATGTACGGCCGTAACTTGAATAATAATTAAAGTATTTTCAACTCCCTTTTTTGGATTTATTAACGTACAGTGGGGATTCAAACCCGGGACCGTTAAATAACGGTCCCGGGTTCGAATCCCCCGGGGGCTTGTTCTACTAGCTATAATTATCAACGGTACATTAATTATCACCAGGCAAGCTAGGTTACTCGGGTGGACCACTCAGAAAACCCTAAAATTGTTTGAGTAGTAAAAGTTTCATCAGCTAGTATATTATAAACTACGGCAGCCTCGTTCCTATTCCCGACACAAACAGTTCCCCAAGTTACAATATGTTACCGTCTTTAGTGCACGCTGGTTGGATTGCATCATCGCAGTGGGACAATATATGTAACGTTAGAGGCTCGCCACGGGGTTATCATACGCACATTCGTAGCAATATCCGGACCGCACGGAAACTGCAATGTCATGATTCACGTTTCTCCTAACAAATCAATAGATTTTATACCAGGAAAAAACCTCGGCCACGGAGTTTATGTCTATATATATAAAGGATCGTGTATATATATGTATAGGGACGGTGACAGTGAGAACAGTCTAGAATTTAAATGTTTAACCATGTTTTATCTTTTGCGTATTACATGTAGCTCTATATCACGGACTTGTATGTAGCCTATATTTACTTACACCTACTGTGATGTCTCTTAAATGTTTGTATAGTTACACCTACTGTGATGTCTCTTACATGTATGTATACTTAAACCTACTGTGATGTCTCGTACGTGTAGTCATAGTTACACCTACTGTGATGTTTCTTACATGTATTGTTACACCTACTGTGGTGTCTCTTACATGTATAGTTACACCTGCTGTGATGTCTCTTACATGTTTGTATAGTAACACCTACTGTGATGTCTCTTACATGTATAGTTACACCTACTATGATGTCTCTTACATGTGTGTATAGTTACACCTATTGTGATGTCTCGTACGTGTAGGCATAGTTACACCTACTGTGATGTCTCTTACATGTATGTATAGTTACACCTACTGTGATGTCTCTTACATGTATGTATAGTTACACCTACTGTGATGTCTCTTACATGTATAGTTACACCTACTGTGATGTCTCTTACATGTATAGTTACACCTACTATGCTGTCTCTTACATGTATGTATAGTTACACCTATTGTGATGTCTCGTACGTGTAGGCATAGTTACACCTACTGTGATGTCTCTTACGTGTATGTATAGTTACACCTACTGTGGTGTCTCTTACATGTTTGTATAGTTACTCCTACTGTGATGTCTCTTACATGTTTGTATAGTTAATCCTACTGTGATGTCTCTTACATGTATAGTTACACCTACTGTGATGTCTCGTACGTGTAGGTATAGTTACACCTACTGTGATGTCTCCTACATGTAAGTATAGTTACACCTGCTATGATGTCTCTTACATGTTTGTATAGTTACACCTACTGTGATGTCTCTTAAATGTTTGTATAGTTACTCCTACTGTGGTGTCTCTTACATGCACTGTTACACCTACTGTGATGTCTCTTACAGGTATTTTTACACCTACTGTGATGTCTATTAAATGTTTGTATAGTTACTCCTACTGTGATGTCTCTTACATGTATGTATAGTTAAACCTACTGTGATGTCTCTTACATGTATGTATAGTTAAACCTACTGTGATGTCTCGTACGTGCAGGTATAGTTACATCTACTGTGATGTCTCTTACATGTATAGTTACACCTACTGTGATGACTCTTACATGTATAGTTACACCTGCTGTGATGTCTCTTACATGTATGTATAGTAACACCTACTATGATGTCTCTTACATGTATGTATAGTTACACCTACTGTGATGTCTCTTACGTGTATGTATAGTTACACCTACTGTGATGTCTCTTACATGTATGTAAAGTTACACCTACTGTGGTGTCTCTTACATGTTTGTATAGTTACTCCTACTGTGGTGTCTCTTACATGTTTGTATAGTACACCTACTGTGATGTCTCTTACGTGTAGGTATAGTTACACCTACTATGATGTCTCTTACATGTATGTATAGTTACACCTACTGTGATGTCTCTTACATGCAGTATATTTACACCTACTGTGATGTCTCTTACATGTTTGTATAGTTACTCCTACTGTGGTGTCTCTTACATGCATTGCTACACCTACTGTGATGTCTCTTACAGGTATTGTTACACCTACTGTGATGTCTCTTACATGTATGTATAGTTACACCTACTGTGATGTCTCTTACATGTATTGCTACTCCTACTGTGATGTCTCTTACGTGTAGGTATAGTTACACCTACTATGATGTCTCTTACATGTTTGTATAGTTACTCCTACTGTGATGTCTCTTACATGTATGTATAGTTACACCTACTGTGATGTCTCTTACGTGTAGGTATAGTCACACCTACTGTGATGTCTATTACATGTATGTATAGTTACACCTAATGCGATGTCTCTTACATGTATGCATAGTTACACCTACTGTGATGTCTCTTACATGTATTGTTACACCTACTGTGATGTCTCTTACATTTATGTATAGTTACACCTACTGTGATGTCTCTTACATGCAAGGTTACACCTACTGTGATGTCTCTTACGTGTATTGTTACACCTACTGTGATGTCTCTTACATGTATGTATAGTTACACCTACTGTGATGTCTCTTACATGTATAGTTACACCTACTGTGGTGCATCTTACGTTTATGCATAGTTACACCTACTGTGATGTCTCTTACATGTTTGTATAGTTTCTCCTTCTGTGGTGTCTCTTACATGTAAGTATAGTTACACCTACTGTCATGTCTCTTATATGCATAGTTACGCCTACTGTGATGTCTCTTATATCTCTTACATGCACTGTTACACCTACTGTGATGTATCTTACATGTATGTATAGTTAAACCTACTGTGATGTCTCGTACGTGTAGGTATAGTTACACCTAATGTGATATTGTTACATGTATAGTTACACCTACTGCGATGTCTCTTACATATATGAATAGTTACACCTACTGTGATGTCTCTTACATGTATAGTTACACCTACTGTGATGTCTCTTATATGCATAGTTACACCTACTGTGATGTCTCTTACAGGTATTGTTACACCTACTGTGATGTCTCTCACATATATGTATAGTTACACCTACTGTGATGTCTCTTATATGCATAGTTACACCTACTGTGATGTCTCTTACATGCAAGGTTACACCTACTGTGATGTCACTTACAGGTATTGTTACACCTACTGTGGTGTATCATACATGTATTGTTACACCTACTGTGATGTTTCTTACATGTATTGTTACACCTACTGTGGTGTATCTTACATGTATGTATAGTTACACCTACTGTGATGTCTCTTACATGTATTGTTACACTTACTGTGGTGTATCTTACATGTATGTATAGTTACACCTACTGTGATATTTTTTACATGTATAGTTACACCTACTGTGATGTCTCTTACATGCAAGGTTACACCTACTGTGATGTCTCTTACATGTTTGTATAGTTACAACTACTGTGATGTCTCTTACATGTATTGTTACACCTACTGTGATGTTTCTTACATGTATTGTTACACCTACTGTGATGTTTCTTACATGTATTGTTACACCTACTGTGATATCTCTTACATGTAAGTATAGTTACACCTACTATGATATTTTTGAAATGTATTGTTACACCTACTGTGATGTTTCTTACATGTATTGTTACACCTACTGTGGTGTATCATACATGTATTGTTACACCTACTGTGATATCTCTTACATGTAAGTATAGTTACACCTACTATGATATTTTTGAAATGTATTGTTACACCTACTGTGATGTTTCTTACATGTATTGTTACACCTACTGTGATGTCTCTTACATGTTACATGTATGTATAGTTACACCTACTGTGGTATATCTTACATGTATAGTTACACCTACTGTGTTTATCTTGCATGTAGGTATAGTTACACCTACTGTGGTGTCTCTTACATGTATGGTTACACCTACTGTGGTGTATCTTACATGTATAGTTACACCTACTGTATAGTTACACCTACATGTATGTATAGTTACACCTAATGTGATATTTTTACATGTATTGCTATTCCTACTGTGGTGTATCTTACATGTATAGTTACTTCTACTGTGATTTCTCTTACATGTATGGTTACACCTACTGTGCTTACGTGTAGGTATAGTTACGCCTACTGTGATATTTTTGAAATGTACAGTTACACCCACTGTGATGTCTCTTACGTGTAGGTATAGTTACACCTAATGTGATGTCTCTTACATGCATAGTTACTCCTACTGTGATGTTTCTTACATGTAAGTATAGTTACACCTACTGTGATATTTTTGAAATGTACAGTTACACCTACTGTGATGTCTCTTACATGTATGTATAGTTACACCTAATGTTATGTCTCTTACATGTATAGTTACTTCTACTGTGATTTCTCTTACATGTATGTATAGTTACACCTACTGTGGTGTCTCTTACATGTTTGTATAGTTACTCCTACTGTGGTGTCTCTTACATGCACTGTTACACCTACTGTGATGTCTCTTACATGCATAGTTACTCCTACTGTGATGTCTCTTACGTGTAGGTATAGTTACACCTACTGTGATGTCTCTTAGATGTATGTATAGTTACACCTACTGTGATATTTTTGAAATGTATAGTTACACCTACTGTGGTGCCTTTTACATGTATAGTTAAACCTACTGTGATGTCTATGTGATGTCTCTTACATGTATAGTTACTTCTACTGTGATTTCTCTTACATGTATGAATAGTTACACCTACTGTGATGTCTTTTACAAGTATAGTTACACCTACTGTGATGTCTTTTACATGTATAGTTACTTCTACTGTGATTTCTCTTACATGTATGAATAGTTACACCTACTGTGATGTCTTTTACATGTATAGTTACACCTACTGTGATGTATCTTACATGTATGTATAGTTACACCTAATGTGATGTCTCTTACATGTATAGTTACTTCTACTGTGATTTCTCTTACATGTATGTATAGTTACACCTACTGTGATGTCTTTTACATGTATAGTTACTTCTACTGTGATTTCTCTTACATGTATGTATAGTTACACCTACTGTGGTGTCTCTTACATGTTTGTATAGTTACTCCTACTGTGGTGTCTCTTACATGTATTGTTACACCTACTGTTATGTCTCTTACATGTATTGTTACACCTACTGTGATGTCTCCTACATGTATTGTTACACCTACTGTGATGTCTCTTACATGTATGTATAGTTACACCTACTGTGATATTTTTTACATATTTAGTTACACCTACTGTGATGTCTCTAACATGTATAGCTACACCTGCTGTGATGTCTCTTACATGTATGTATAGTTACACCTACTGTGATATTTTTTACATATTTAGTTACACCTACTGTGATGTCTTTTACATGTATAGTTACACCTACTGTGATGTCTCTTACATGTATTGTTACACCTAATGTGATGTCTTTTATATGTATTGTTACACCTACTGTGATGTCTCATACATGTAGGTATAGTTACACCTACTGTGATTTCTCTTACGTGTAGGTATTGTTACACCTACTGTGATATCTCTTACATGTTTGTATAGTTACACCTACTGTGATGTCTCTTACATGTATGTATAGTTACACCAACTATGAATCAATTGGAAGAAATGTTTTACATGACATTGTGACTTCGAGACCTTAAAAGACATAATGATGAAAACCTAGTCTGCGAACTCACATTTTTAGCCAAAACTCTCACATGCATTCATGGTACTGTGATAAATAAGATCTTGAACTCATTTCTAATTTCAATTTCATATTTACAATGTTACTGTCTCTAACTGTTACATAATCACTCAATATTACTGCTTCTGACTGTTATAGGATTACTCAATGTTACTGTCTCTGACTGTTACATGATTACTCAATGTTACTGTCTCTGACTGTTACATGATCACTCAATGTTACTGACTCTGACTGTTACACGATCACTCAATGTTACTGCCTCTGACTGTTACAGGATCACTCAATGTTACTGTCTCTGACTGTTACATGATCACTCAATGTTACTGTCTCTGACTGTTACATGATCACTCATTGTTACTGGCTCTGACTGTTACATGATCACTCAATGTTACTGTGTCTGACTGTTACAGGATCACTCAATGTTACTGTCTCTGACTGTTACATGATCACTCAATGTTACTGCCTCTGACTGTTACAGGATCACTCAATGTTACTGTCTCTGACTGTTACATGATCACTCAATGTTACTGCCTCTGACTGTTACATAATCACCCAATGTTACTGTCTCTGACTGTTACACGATCACTCAATGTAACTGCCTCTGACTGTTACATGATCACTCAATGTTACTGTCTCTGACTGTTACATGAACACTCAATGTAACTGCCTCTGACTGTTCCACGATCACTCAATGTTACTGTGTCTGACTGTTACAGGATCACTCAATGTTACTGTCTCTGACTGTTACACGATCACTCAATGTTACTGTGTCTGACTTTTACATGATCACTCAATGTTACTGTCTCTGACTGTTACACGATCACTCAATGTTACTGTCTCTGACTGTTACACGATCACTCAATGTTACTGTCTCTGACTGTTACATGATCACTCAATGTTACTGTCTCTGACTGTTACACGATCACTCAATGTTACTGTCTCTGACTGTTACACGATCACTCAATGTTACTGTCTCTGACTGTTACACGATCACTCAATGTTACTGTCTCTGACTGTTACACGATCACTCAATGTAACTGTCTCTGACTGTTACACGATCACTCAATGTTACTGTCTCTGACTGTTACACGATCACTCAATGTTACTGTCTCTGACTGTTACACGATCACTCAATGTTACTGTCTCTGACTGTTACACGACCACTCAATGTTACTGCCTCTGACTGTTACATGATTACTGTCTCTGACTGTTACACGATCACTCAATATTACTGTCTCTGACTGCTACATGATCACTCAATGTTACTTTCTCTGACTGTTACACGATCACTCAATGTAACTGCCTCTGACTGTTACACGATCACTCAATGTGACTGCCTCTGACTGTTACACGATCACTCAATGTAACTGCCTCTGACTGTTACATGATCACTCAATGTAACTTCCTCTGACTGTTACACGATCACTCAATGTAACTGCCTCTGAAGATCTGACTGTTACAGGATCATTTTGTCTTTAAATTTCACATTTTGTTTTGTTTACTTTGTCGCTATTGTTACACTTTGTATTTAATTGTTACTGTGGCTCTCAGTTTCACATTTTTTGTTTACTTAGTCGCTATTGTAACTTTCTATCTAATTGTTACTATGTCTCTATTTTTCGCATGGTGTTTTGTTGTCTGTCTCTATGACTCTGGTTTTAAAAGGTTTCTGATACAAAAAAGATCTCTAATATAAACACCCAACGCTGTTTCTTCTGTAACAATGTAATATGAAACAACGACAACATATATGAACGAAAGAGTGTAAGAAAATTGAGCGGTTTATCTTTTAGGCTGCATTTAACATCAAGATAAACTTTTGCAATGATTAAGACCGAACACCCGTGAATGAGAACGGTCTCACCGTGTTAAGTTTGTTCAAGTAGTTTTTCCCAGCAAACATTGGTATGTTTACATTAGGTTCTGCATTCGCCGTATTGTCCGTCTGTGCTTGATTTTGAGCATTAGGCCCATGCAAAAATTTCATATTGAATTCACTGATATCCTTTGCTGTGTGTAAATTCCGAATTATCTCATTGACGCCCGGGGGTAGGGTTGCACGCTCTGCCGGGGTGGTTGAGACGGGCGTTACTCTTGTTTTACAGTCGTCCAAGCAGGAATAGAACGAGTCTTTACAGAGGTCGACACAGAGTCCATAGCCCTTCTCCGACACATACTCTCCACCATCACATTTTCCAATTTTGCAATCAAAATACTCATCACCACATACTTCCCGGCATTGGTTCAGTTTGATGGTCTGCTTTGGGTTCAGCGCTCTTAGAAACAGCTGTGCATCGACCAAACGTAAACTTGCAAAAACGAGCAGACCTACTTCATAAAATAAGTTCCCGCTTGTCGGTCGTCTGCCCATCATGACTTCCCTACAGACTGTATAACATGTAAAAGAAAACAAAAAGGGTAATTGAAATACGTTGGCGGTAAACAAGGTGCATTATAGTGAGATTTACTGTATTATCTTTGTGTATTTGAGTTGCATTCTGGATGCTGATATAATCCGCAGAGATTGACTATCCTCTAAGCCTCTAAAACACTGTCAAACATCCCACATATACAATACATACTGTGGCTATGTCCCTGTGACCGTAAAACGGCGATACGTCCCGAGCACAGGAACATGATAATTTGCTATAGTATAGGTATATGTTTTGTAACCCGAGCACAGGAACCTGATAACTTGCTATAGAATAGCTATGCTTTGAATTAAACTGATGTGTTCAAAGTAATATTAGACGTTTTTTGGAATTTAGATTGATTCTTGGTCAAATATAATCCCCTATAAGTTATTTCAACTTGATCCCATTCCTCTGTACTTTGTATGTTATGTGATGTAATGAAACTGAATTTGGAATGAAATAAAGTTTATATTAAATATAATCCCCAGTGATAGTATGTAACATCGTTGGCGGGTGGCATTTTGGTCCACATGAAACAACGACTAACTGCCAGCCAATGAACATCCTCGAAATTCCAGAGGTTATACGCTCACTTATCAAATGCGCCATCTTGTGATCCTTTGATGTACATCAAAAGAATCGGACGCCAGTGTAACGGCAAAATGTACCGGCTTTGAAGTCGGTCGTTACTTCAATGTAATCTTTGAGGCAGGCATCAGCTTAGCGATTGGTAAGGCTTCATTAAACCTGATACCAATCCAATATCTATAACTGCTTACCTTCGATTTTGTCACGACATATTCCTGAACGTAAGTGAGCATAACCTCTGGAGTTCAGAAATCGTCAGTTGATTATGACTTCCCTTGCAGACGTCCCTTACATTCTTATTATTACCTTTCGGTATCCCAGATGATTTTGCTCAAGTGGTCAGCTAAACAGAGGAGATGTGCCAACACAGCTGGTATCTGACTTCACCCACATGCAATTGATAAGGCTATCAGCGAGAAGCAACGATATTACGTCTCGGGCAGTACTTATCACTACAGACGAGATAGTACATATCTTATGTCTGTTTACACTAGACAACAATTTGCATAACGAATGTCCGATACACAGCCAGTGGTGTCTACCATTGCATTGTACCTATCTTCAGTTTATTAAAGATAGGTGTTTTGCGTTACGTATGGAATGAAAGGTTTTGGTAGTTAATCTGTATTTAAATGTTCATTCTAACATGCTTGATATTCGGAACCTTGAAAGTGAATCAAGTTGATTTTTTTACAAACATAAGAGCCCTCCTGCTCTAGAAAGTTACATGACTGTTCATCATCATTTCGCCTTTTGATACCAACTCAATCAACGTACGTGCAGTTGAACATAATTCATATGCTTTAAGCTCGGCAAGCTACAGGACAAATGCTTGTGTCATGAAACGTTGCCTCATAATTGAGTTTAAGTGGTGAGCATTTTTGGCATAGATTGAAAGCGATCCATATAATTAATTTAAAGAAATCTCCCAGCAAGCCTCATCAAATTAATCCAGGCCTAACCCATTTGTAGAGGAAGTTGTTGTATTTTAAATCTAATTTAATCTGCGTGACATTGAAAATGTCTATCAAGTTACAGGACAAATGTTTTCCCAATTGGGTTTTGGATACATTTGATAGATGTGTTATTTCTGCTACCTTACACATAACACCCGTTTTGTCTGCTACCTTACACCCGTTATTTCTGCTACCTTTCACTTTACACCTTTTATGTCTGCTACCTTACACATAACACCCGTTTTGTCTGCTACCGTACACCCGTTATTTCCACCACCTGACACACGTTGTCTGCCACCTTACACCCGTTATTTATGCTGCGTTACACATTCACTCCCGTAGATCAGTGATTGAGAAAACAATATGCCTGCTGTTACCCACTGCATGATCGTATGAGGCGACTAATGTTCGCACTCCCTGTATAATTCGAGATTTCCAATTGTGCCCTCTACTCGGGGATACAAAAGCGACTGGAATAAATCTTCTGTGCCAATTGCAATATTTGGGTTCTTTCTATGTCTCTGTAATTCTAAATACTGTTTTCTTCCTAGCACCTTGCTTAGCAATACTTCACTTTTGGCTTTGATGTTAAACGTTTTCGCAGGTGAGGAAGGCCATGGGTTTTATCCCCATGCCAGGACATACCAAAATCCTTAAAAATGGTCATTGTTATTCATTGCTAGAACGTTCAGCAATAAGAGTCATGCCAACAGCTGGTTCCAAATAATTATTTCCATGAAAGACATTTCACAGGTTTCGAATATTGAATCGTAAGGGGATGCAAGTCATTAGAAGGAAGCAGTAATTCTAAAATACCTAATTATAACTTGCGTGTGATAAAAATTGGTCTATTCATAAAACTATAGCTGTATCTGTCCTAAGAACAGTGATCTTCTGCTACAATGATATTCTTTATTCTAGTAAACACTGGTAGTTCAACATCAACTCACGGTTAAGACAGTTGATCGTTACTGATGAAAAGACACAAAACAACCAAATTATTCACGAAATTTACATCACAATTTTAATTGCTATGCTGCATGCATTTTATAATGTATACAAAGGCATCTCTTTAAGAGTTATCTCCCTTTCGTCTTAACCCCCCCCCCCCACGAGCAAATGACAATTATAATTATAGATTTAGGAGACATACATTTCACCATCTGCAAATAAGATTCAAGCTTCTTTTGAGCTTTACATTTAAACGGCAACCTGCACCAAATACCTCAGTTACACCAATACCTACCTACACCTACAGTGATTAACAAGCAACACACTGTTACAGATGTCTGAAGTTTCTCTAGAAAAAATTAGCAGAGGACAAACAAAAATTTACATATCACAGTCAGGATTTGCTTTGAACTTGATGGTTCAAAATATCATAACTTTGAGGTTGAAAATGATTTGCTGAACAAAGGAATAATACCAGTCTCCATACTATGATGTGGAAGACATATTTGGTCATGGCTGTGCAACAGAACACAGAAATCTAACCTAATACGTGACTGAGAATGATCAAATAAAAATTAAAGCACAAATACTTTTATCTAAATCAAATTTTGTGTTATAATTGCCTTTCTGCTCAGAAAAAAAACAATATCATAAAAAAATCATGCATTAAAATATTTAACTCTTGTCCTATGATAAACTATCTTCGGACCCAAATATTGTTTTACTTTTTATATGTCACTTTAGTGATGTGTGCTCATAGTATAAACACACATCATATAACATAAGCCTAATACTGACTTTATCACAGTAGATTGCTGTCAATTCATCAATATTTTTTTACTACATGTACAGACAGTGAAAGCAGTCTCCACAACTTGAATTTTTTAGTGTTTAAAGCTTACAACTGAAATAAAAGCATAAGAATTTATGATCTCTGCACAATGTGATTCATCAAGAACTATAAATAGTGATACATGTACATAAAAATAACTGACCATGTGTGACACTATAATATATAGTGCTAAAAAGATCTTAAATCGGTCTAACAGTCATCCATTCAGTGACACTAACATTGGTTTACAAAACCTTGCATTAATACTCACAGATCCCAAGTCTACCGGTACATACACTTCCATTGCCTATCGATCCTACACTGTACAATGTAGACACATACACTTCTGATGGGAGCATGCTCACAGATCCTACCTTGTACAATGCAGACACATAAACATCTGATGGGAGCATGCTCACAGATCCTACACTGTACAATGCAGACACATACATCTGATGGGAGCATCCTCACAGATCCTACACTGTACAATGTAGATACATATACATCTCATGGGAGCATGCTCACAGATCCTACACTGTACAATGTAGACACATATACATCTGATGGGAGCATGCTCACAGATCCTACACTCTACAATGTAAACACATATACATCTGATGGGAGCATCCTCACAGATCCTACACTACAATGTAGACACATACACTTCTGATGGGAGCATCCTCACAGATCCTACACTGTACAATGTAGACACATACATCTGATGGGAGCAACCTCACAGATCCTACACTGTACAATGCAGACACATATACATCTGATGGGAGCATGCTCACAGATCCTACCCTGTACAATGTAGACACATAAACATCTGATGGGAGCATCCTCACAGATCCTAC